CACAGAAAGTCAGATATGTTTGTTTGAATGTGGTCTTGCTCAATCTGAGCCTACATGTCTTTGCCTGTCTGTGCATGTGTGTGTGTTTGTAGGGGGAGGGGTCTTAACCATTTCACTCCTGTGTGTATGGCCTGCATAAAAAATAAATGCCTTAAGCCTGGTATTTTTTTAAATAAGTTTTTTATTTTTTATAAGTAAAGGCATATAACCAGTTTAATTGTAGTGCATTAATAGTTTTATATAATTAGTTTATTAATTAAATTAACTTGGTCCATAAACTTGATCTGAAAATTTGGTCCATAAATCAAACACACTTGCATGTAATAATATGACTTGAGTGTTAATCACATCATGTTTTCAGTTTGAATATAAAATATATAAATTATGTAAAAAAAAAATAAAGTTGATCCAGCTGGAGCGCAGGCTGAGAATAGCGCTGTCATGACTGGATCAGAGATCATCAGTCATGCCCTCTCATACCTTACGCACACCACGCCCACTTACATCAGATCACATCAACATGTCAGCCGGAGGGATAACGAGGGTCGTCGTCGCTTTTGGATTCAAGAATTTCTTACAACAAGATGGCAAAAGAACAGCGCTTTGCAAGACATGCAACGTTAAGATCGCGGACAGTCAACCTCCAATTTCGTCCGTCATTTGAAGAGCCATATTCTGCCCAGTAAGTGCTTGTCAATTGTTAATGTTATCTGGTTAGCTCGTTCGTAGTTAGCTAGCTAATGTAAGTTAAAGGAGAACTCCGGCGCAAAATTACACATTGTTACCTAGTCAACCGTTATCTGAGATTTGTTTTCATGACTGCCGAATGTAAATAGTTTTATCTATAAAAACAGTTTAGCCTATAAGTGACGTCCGACATTCTGCATATTGTGTTATTTTGTTAAGCCCCACTAAAGGCATAAAAAACTGTAAAGCAGAATCAAGTTTTCACACTATATTCCAAGACTTCTAAAGTCATTCAATAGCTTAATGTGTGGTAAAATTAATATTTTAGTCTCTAAGTTAAAGTTAACGGAAAGTCATCTCGCCTCAGTCATTCTCCATGCATCAGCATTAGTGCGTCGCGTTCGGTTGCGACAGTAACACGACGACACTCTCTTCAAGATCAATGTTCCCAATATTATACTTTATTTGTAGATAAGGCATAAAGGTCTATGATTTGCATAAAATGACTATCTTGCTGGAGTGGAGTTTATTGCCCTTTAGAATACACTAAGCATTAGTGCTGCACGATTAATTATATCGCAGTCGTAATAGCGATCTCAAACCTATGCAATTATATAACGCAAAATGCCGCGATTTTATATGAAATAAACAAAGTAGGGCTATTAGCGCAGCATCTCTTCTTTTTTGTCATCCTTTGACTAGTGTTACAAGATCCCCCTCTAATTGGTTCAAATGCCTTTTCGCATTTTGCACGACAAGAAGTGAAAAGCTGCCTGTGAGTGCCTAGAATAGATGAGACTCGCATAATGCGCATGCACTGACCGTGTGCCAGCCCAGAATAAACAGTTCTCTTTCGAGCTTGAACGAACAATAACACACACAATTATGCCAAAATGTCGTTTTGTCGAGTATCTTCATAACGTAAGAAAAGTCTTAAGGACGAAAAGAGTTGTGCTATGAGGCGCATGTGAGATCCGCGTCTCGGCAACGAGTGCTCTTAAAGGGCCAGCAGCGAATAAAGCGTTCTGTCAGTCAAGTTAAAAGAACAAAGGGAAATTAGAAAATTACTCACTGATCTTGACTAAAGAACTTTTGTAGCTTTAATAAGGATTATTCTATATATAATTTATAATTCATGCAGCACATACTGTTTGATAACTTTATTCAATTTCTGTATCCTACCTGTTAAGACAGGAAGGGCACAGGTAAATATGGTTTTTATTATGGGTTTATGTGGGGATTGTTTGAAGTTCACTTAATTTAAAATTTGTTAAATTCTTTTTTTAGCCTAATAATTTTTTTTAAAAAGTTGATAGCTTTCACTGTAATGATGGTTTGGTTGATGGTTTATTGATCATTATAGGTGTTATCAATCATTTAGTTGTTGTCTGTAGTTTGAGTTGAGAAATAAACATTAATATACAGAATGATCACTAATCTGTGTGTGCATTTTACTTTAGAACCAAGCAAGTTGGACTCATGAAACCATTTTATTATATCGGAATCGCATATCACAATTGCAATATTGACCTCAGTAATTGCAATGGCAATATGACATTTTCCCCAAATCGTCCAGCCCTACTAAGCATATTATAGATATAATCCCTTCGCTATGTTCTTTTCAATGTGAAGCATTGCTTGCTGTGACTTGGTGTTGCTTCAAGTGCATCATTCTGCACACGGGATGCGCATGATCGATTATAATACTTTGGGGAGACAAGGCCCCCACACCGGGGAAATGGGCCTGCCCCCACAGCTTGGAAAAATCCTAGAGGAAACACTGCACACACACACTCAGTTCAATCGCACCTCCCTCCCCCTCCTCTCTCTCTCTCTCTCTCTCTCTCTCTCTCTCTCTCACACACACACACACACACACACTTTCTGCAAGGCAGCGGCTTCAGAAGTCCACGCGCTCAGAGGGAACTTCAACACACACTTCGACGTGCGCGCCTCTCTCTCTCTAGTGCGCATACACACACTCCAGCTTGAGAGAGAGAGAGAGAGAGAGAGAGAGAGGCGCGCGCGTCGAAGTGTGTGTTTGTGTTAAAGTTTCCTCTGAGCTCGTGCACTTCTGAAGCCGCTGCCGCGCAGCGAAATAAGAAAATACCACGCAGAGGACTGACGCGAAATGTGTGGAAATCCATTTGATTGTAGTTTAATTGAGAAATAAATTCAGTGCTCTGGTCAACCGCTATAGAGTGAAAACTGATTAAAGTGGTGGAAATAATGGTTGATGGACATAGAACAGTAACAATTAAACACCCATGCGTGAAGTCAAAATACATCATTAGTTTAAATCGATGATTGTGTGTGTGTGTGTGGGGCGGGTAGGTATGATTACTATTAAAGAGTTTGCATATTTACTTTTCTTGAAAATATTTAGCTATTAGATCTATTTAAATGCTTCAGTTTGTTTTCATATTATAATAATATATTATGTGCACAAATTGAAGCATTTAAACTGATGAATAATATCACTTCAAATACTTCAATTCGTTTTTTATATTATATTAGGCCTCTTTTGTATTATATTATGAGCCTGAATAAAGAATCTAACAAAGGTATTGTTTAGGTTATATTAGGCCTATATTTTATTATATTTTAAGGCTAAATAAAGAACCTCACAAGGGTTGTTTAGGGCTCATTGCCAATAAAAGTTTGAAACCCCTTGCTAAAGAAAATATTGGAAATTCATAAGCAACAAACAACCATTTAACTTTGATGGTTTAATGCTTCCTGTACACAATTCATTGACTGTACAAAAACACTTTATGGTTTTCCCAAACCATCTGTGTAACAGCTTTCTTTTCTTTCTTACTATATTCTTTTATTGTAAAGAATTGAACTGTCCTGCAAAAGATTTTGTAAATTATTTTTCATAGTATTTATTGGTAAAGACTGTACAGTTAACAGCACTGGAAAAAAATATCAGAGAACCTAAAATGTGCTTCATCTAGTGACTTCTTAATTAACTGCTTGTTTTTCACAAATATGATTTAATATCAATATGTTACATTAAGGGTCAAATAAAATGTAAATGGCACATTCAAGTTAAAAGTTACAACTGAATGTTGAAAACATTGTGTTTCTACATATGATGTGCAGGTCAGGTATAAAGAATATTTTTGCTCAGGTGGTGAAAAAATAGAAAAAATTGCACACACTTCATATGAATTTTCAGTGTTGTGTACTTATGTAATGTGTCCGTTAAATCCATGAATGTCTGTAGGGTGTCTCATTTTTCATTTTAGGTTTCAGAAGGTTGCTCACGCATACATTTTGGTTGATATGTGTCCTCGATGCGCACTTTTGCAGAGCCCACACTGTTGCAAGCTCTACGGCACACTTCTTTTCGACAGTCAAAGCAGTGTTACGTTTGTGCACAATAACCCTAAAGGCACCAGGGTGGCGGTGCCACCGGCTATATATATATATATATATATATATATATATATATAAATATAGCTGCGAGCAGCGATGAAGGGCCAAAGGCGGTGGTACCACCACCTCGGAGCCTTTAGGTAACTAAAGGCACCGGGGTTGCGGTGCCACCGGCTTGGGCCCGCCATCGCTGCTCGCAGCTATATTTTTCTGTGGATTTCAACAAATGGCAAAAAGCTAGCAACAAATATTCATATTCATTTTAAAACATTAGAGTGAGTAGGCTAAATAATGTTTTTTTTTTTTTTTTTTTTTGAGAACTATGCCTATGATATCAACTAAAGAAGGTCCTTACACGCAGAAGCGATTGATTATCTGAATGAGGAGATATAGCTGGTGGACGGGTTGGTGCAACAGATCTGGCTATGTTGTATTTTGGCAGTCTGTTAATAATAATATTTAAATATGGACAAACAACAGACGAAAGTTCACATGGCATCTGTAATCAACACCAAAAGGAAGTGTTTATTTTCATAAGAGTGCACCTGCCCTCAAGAAGATATATTGCTTTTTTCCTTCATCAAATGGTTGACGCTTGCATTGACTTCCACAGTAGGAAACAAATACCATGGAAGTCAATGTGTCTGGTTACCAACATTCTTCAAAATACCTTCTTTTGGTTCAACGGAAAAAAGAAACTCATACAGTACAACTCGAGGGTGAGTAAATGATCATCATTTGTGGGTGAACTGTCCCTTTAAGAAGTGCAACCCTTAAATCTGAGGGGAAAACTATTTTGTCGTGGTGTCAGAAACCATAGTGATTTCGCGAGGTGTATTTAAACGTATGACGTCAACCATAAGTCTGCTTTGAAAACGAACAAGAACCGAGCAAAACTGTTTCATATTTCACTAGAAAACGACATGTCAGTGTGTGTTGTCGCAGTGTATTCTGCGCGCAGTGCTCGGTGCGCGTGCGCGAGGGGCGTGGCAGAGCCGCTGACGTCAGAAAGGTCGTGGGTGAGAGGTTGATCGGGACACATCTTGTTGTCTTTGTAAGAGTGGAGCTCGATCACGCAGCCGTGTCTTCCCTCTTCCCCGAATCCTCTCAAAACTCCCCCCGAACCTCCCGAACCTTCCCCTCTCACCCTCCGGACCCTCGGACCCTCGGACCCTCTCCCCATCCCGGAGCGCGCGCGTCAGGTGAGGCTTTACCGCGCTCCGTGCGCGCCACGGGCCTGCAGGCCGCGCGCTAGCCTTTAGCGCTCGTGCTAGTCAAGCCTGCGCACTTCTCGCGCGGCGTCGGGTGATATATCCCCACACAGAGCACAGCAGTGTTTAGTGTACATCTGCTAATACGAGCTCTAGATGCAGATGAAACGGGTGTGTGTCGTGTTCGTGGTCGTGTGGCGGTGTTACCCGGCGGTACGCAGCTAGTAAACACACTCGAGCTAATGCTAACGTAGCTTCGGCACTGATTCATTACCACACGCGATACATGGCGTGTTTATATCGACAGACCGAGGATTTACAACATTATTTACACGAATACACGGAATGTCTTCATGTTTACAGCTATAGTCATATGGCTCAGATGAGTTTTTAACGTAAACACGAATTCATGTTTCTCGGAATAAGCTGCATATGAAAATACACCTGACATATAGAGCCTTTATGGTGTGTTTTTACTCTGATTCATTGAACTCTAGCATGTACTGTGGCATTCAGTGAAGCTCAGTGTAGATGATCTGCAGCTTCCAGACACTGACATTGAGCTGATGAGATGAAGTGAGTGTTTTATAAGTGTGTGTGTGTGTTTACGACAGGTTTCTCATCCGTGACCAAAGACCCCGAGCTTGCCTCACTGATCATCATGGACTCTGGTGTGATTGAAGGAGGACTCAACGTCACGCTCACCATCAGACTGCTCATGCATGGGAAAGAAGTGGGCAGCATCATCGGGAAGGTGTGTACTCACTCACACACACGCATGCTAACACACCACAGCCCTGAGTACACGTGCACACACACGCTCACCCTCAGACTGCTCATGCATGGCAAAGTAGTGGGCAGCATCATCGGGAAGGTGTGTACTCACTCACACACACACCACAGCCCTGAGTAAACGTGTGTATCTCCACAGAGCCGTCCAGCGCTGGTGTTCTCAGGCGTAGAGGTGTTAGTCGTGTCTGATGGCTTATATTAAGGATTGGGAAAATAGATTCACGTATGAATCGCGGTTCTGTCTTTCGCCGATTCACAAATTTCAAAAATCGATTTTCTAAATGTTTAATAATGTGGTGTTTCAGCAGTTTAGAGACGCACAGGATTGGCAGAGGAAGCTTTATGAATGAAGCAGTTCATATCAACGTCTGAACAAATAGAAATTAGCCTGAAATAAAGTTTAGTTTGGTTAGTGGAGTAGTCGAGCTCTTGTGATCTTTCCCTGTACAGATACTTTCGTTTTTACACAAGAAGCTTGGTCATGGTGGATGCGAACAAATGTTAACAAACCAATACCCGCCTATGAAAGATTATGTGTCTGTATCTGAAGTAATCAATATTAGCATGTGATCACCCGTATTCTGCATCTCTCGCTGATCACATGAACTCTAGATTAAATTAACGCCGTTAAGAGGCGTGTATAATTTAAACCAATAACTCGTGCTCGATTGGGACTAACAGCTAATGTTCATTTCTCGACCGTTCGCATCTCGATTCCAAATACAATTTCGGATTTTCGATATCCGTCGATTTGATCATAGATTTTAAATGCGAATATCAAGTCGTGGGCTTTCTAAAGATTCCCCTAGTGTGTGTGTGTGAGGAGCAGAGCTTCAGCTGTCTGACGTGTGTGTGTGAGGCTTCGCAGGAATGATAATCATGTGGTCGACACCAGATTAGCGCAGTAGAGATCACTTCCGTAATTTTTATGAATAATTCTCTAATCACTTTGAATTGATTACATCAAGTCAGAGCAATCAAGTTTCAGCTTTTGAAGCATTAGCCAAAGCATTATAATGCTGTTCGACCGCTAGCTTTACTGTAAAGCCCAAACTTCAGCGGTTACGCATCATTTACGCGGCTGTGAGAAAAAGCGCTGGGAAAGTCACTGGAATATGTGCAAAAGTCCATGAATTAAACCGTTAGCTTGGGGCTTCATTAGTCTTCTGGCACCAGCGTAACCCTGCATGCTAACTGCTCGGGTACGACTCGCACACGCCTCGCGTAAATCTGCACGTTTAGCTCTAGAAATTGACTGGGAATGGGCAAGAGAAAGACACACACACTCATGTTTACTATCCACACACACTCATGTTTACTATCATGAACAATATTTTGATGCTTAAACAATATAATTCCAAGTTTAGAGTGCTAATACTGGTCTAACGTGTTTCTCACTGATGTGTGTGTGTGTTGCAGAAAGGTGAATCGGTGAAGAAGATGCGAGAGGAGGTGAGATCATCTGTTTAATGTTGTGTTGCGCCGCTCGCTAAGGCTACGCGATATATACAAACCTTTTACAGTCTTATACTGCTGTTGTCAAATCACAAAGGCTGCGATTCAGTTACATAAATATATGCACTGTGTTTCAAAGCACGAAGCTTTAATTCTTTACATGCGTGAGATAATGTGTAAAGTCCCTCAGCTCTTCACAGTAAACTGCTCACACACACACTCTGCTGCGATTTTAGCTTCCTTGTATTTATCTGGGAACAAGATGTGTAACGTAACTTATTTGGAGAATACACTGGAGAATACATTTCTAAATCTAGAAAATATACAGCAGCTGCTGATGGATTTCTGTCGTACAGAAGTGACCAAATATTAAAGATTACGTGGACGTTTGAATAAATGTTGTTTGGCCGATATTACACAAGGATTTGCGCCGTTTATCACCATTGCTAACACCTCTACAGGCATATGCTGTAATGCATTGTTTATATAGTTTATTTTACATGCTGGTGTTATAAAACCATATGTGACCACAAACCCAGTCACATGTCGATGGGTATATCTGTGGCTTTCGCCAACATAACGTTTTTATGGGTCCAAATTATCCATTTTTCTTTTATTCCAAAAATCATGAGGATAATAAGTATAGATCATGTTTCATGAAGATATCTTGTAAACGTCCTACTGTAAATATATAGAACGGCACAATCGGCAACATAAATGCAAAGGCGATTTTCCCAATGTTTGTTTTTTTTGCACCCTCAGATCCAGATTTTCAGATAGTTGCATCACTGCCAAATATTGTCGTACTCTAACCACACATCAATGGGAAGCTGATATATTCAGCTTTCTGATGTTTAAATCGCAATTTCAGAAAATGATTATGTGGCGGCCTCTTCTGGACACAATTGAATCTGCATTTCCTTCAGCCTGAGGATTATTGTTTCACTTTTGGTGTAAAGGGGTCTTGCAAAAGTAACACATTACTTTTCTAAAAAAAAAAAAAAAGTAACTAACACAATTACTTACTTTTAAGGGACTTTAATTATTTGTTTGAACCAATTATTATTGCTCATCAAATTTTTGTATTTAAGTCATTTTAAAGGCTGTTGTTCACTATTTCTATTATCACTTTTTTTCTAAAATAGCCACTAGCGTTAGCCTTAAATCTTGATGTGTGTGTGTGTGTGTGTGTGTGCAGAGTGGTGCGCGAATCAACATCTCTGAGGGGAACTGTCCCGAACGCATCATCACGCTTGCCGGCCCCACCACCGCCATCTTCAAGGCCTTCTCCATGATCATCGAGAAGCTGGAGGAGGTACGGATCACTCGTACTGAGGCGCTGTGTGTGTGTCTGTGCGCCGCTAATGTGTGTGTGTGTGTTCCAGGACATCAGCAGTTCCATGTCCAACAGCACGGCCACCTCCAAGCCCCCGGTGACGCTGCGGATCGTGGTGCCGGCCAGCCAGTGCGGCTCGCTCATCGGCAAGGGCGGCTGCAAGATCAAGGAGATCAGGGAGGTGAGACACACACACCATAATATCACCACACCCACAAGATCAAGGAGATCAGGGAAGCGGGACACACACCCCATAATATCAGATATTAGAATCGGTTGAATATTTGTGACTCTCCCATTAGCAGTGAGGCACTGCCCCCTACTGTTGGTTTTAATTTAAAGCATCTTTTCATTTTTTAAATTGTTTAACATCAATATTCAACGTGTGTGTGTGTGTGTTCAGTCGACAGGAGCTCAGGTACAGGTGGCTGGAGACATGCTGCCTAACTCCACCGAGAGAGCCATCACGATCGCCGGCACCCCGCTGTCCATCATCGAGTGTGTCAAGCAGATCTGCGTGGTCATGCTGGAGGTCAGTCTGTGCACACACACTCCTCGCAATGTTCAATCAGCACGTCACATCTGGGTCTTCCAGGTTAACGCCTGCCAAATGTGGGTATAATCAACACTGGCTGTGTTATGTTTCCTCAGTTTGCTGGGAAAGTTCGTATAAACCAAATCTGTGCAGATGATCTGTGATCATCATGATATGTACAGTGTATCTGGCTCAACACACACATCACTACACAGCAAATAACAGCGCTCGTTCATTTGCACTGAAGAAACAGTGAAGATTTAAAATCATTTGGTGAACAGAATATGTGTTTATGTATAGACGAATCCGACGAGCGTTCTGTGTAGGCTTGTGGCGACGCCATTAACGCGAAAGCACCCTCGATGACAGCTACAGGGCTAATGAAGAAATGACTTCAGAAAGACTTGTTGGGTTGATGATGTTAGACAGTGGCCTCCAGTCACAGATGAAGGTAATATTACAAACGATCTTACAGATTAGTTATGAAAATAGCTTGGCAAGCTAGCTAGGCTAACGTTTGCTAACGAGGAAACTATAAAAAAAAGATCTGTCCATTTGGCAACAATAAATAAGTAAATGAAATCAAATAAACAAATTCATGTTTTTCATTTGTGTCCATTATTTATCTCATTTTCACATTGCAACGGGTAACGTTACAGCTGGAAAATATACATAATATTGACCAATTAGTGTTTTTAAACCATGGAAAGAGGTCATTATAACAGCAGGAGAACAATTATGTCACATAACGTTACATTTAGCTCAGGAAAGCCATTTAATGACCATAGCATGTTAATTGAATACAAAAAATAGCAAGAGAGGAGATTTTGCTGATCACTATATCACATATTTATTACATTTTTTTTACTTATGTCATTAAATAATTGTTATTATACGCGAATGTCCGCGTCTTGTACTCGCCCAGGAAATCTGTGTAAACCGTACGGCACCAGACAGGGGCAGTCGACCCGGGGTATTCACAGTGTTTTCTCTTCAAAATTGAAATTTTACTGCCACCATTGAAACAATTTATAACGGAAACTGTTCACCCACTCGACATTATACAAGGGATAACGTTGTAACGTTAGTGACAGTCGTAAATCGCCGGCTGTTTATTCCAGTGGACGCAAGTTGCAACTAAAACAATAGGAGGCAATGGCGCAACGCTACCCAGCAACAGCTCAGTAATGGCGCCCGCTTACTTCCGGTAGTTTCGCCTGATTCGTCTATATCTCTATATAAGCTGTGACGTAGTTCATCTTGTTCATTTCTTTTTTTTTTTTTTGGCTAGTAGAAGTTTTGAATGGCCTGTAACTTAAATTGATTAGCTAAATTGGCGGCTGGGTAAAAAGTTAACTTGAACCCTGGACGCATCATGTGGTGTGTTTAAGCCCCGCCCACATCCCAGAATCCAATCAACAACCAATGCACAGAAACATGTTTTTGATCGTTCTTGTTTTCTCCACGTCTCGTCCCAGTCGCCTCCCAAAGGCGTGACCATCCCGTACCGACCCAAACCCTCAGGATCGCCTGTCATCTTTGCAGGAGGACAGGTGAGCGTCTTCGTCACAGGAGCATCTCTCTGTGTGTGTGTGTGTGTTTGATCTGAACCCTGTGTTTTGCAGGCATACGCGGTGCAGGGACAACATGCCATTCCTCAGCCTGATGTAAGAGGCTCTCTTTGCTTTCCCACAATCCTCTGCTCAGAGTTGGGCCTGTTGTGATGCTGTTCTCTGTGTTCACAGCTCACCAAACTCCACCAGTTGGCCATGCAGCAGAGCCCGTTCCCTCTGGCCCCCAGCAGCCAGGGCTTCACAGGTGCACACACACACACACACACCACCTCTGGCCCCAGCAGCCAGGGCTTCACAGGTGCACACACACACACACACACCACCTCTGGCCCCAGCAGACAAGGCATCACAGGTGCACACACACCGTGTGTGAGCCGTCACTGAGTGTGTGTTTCTCTCCTGCAGCTGGTATGGACGCGTCTGCGCAGACAGGCTCTCACGAACTGACCATTCCAAACGATGTGAGTTTACTGACGCTTCATCTTCTATCTACAGTGGGTACGGAAAGTATTCAGACCCCCTTACATTTTCACTCTTTGTTATTTTGCAGCCATTTGTTAATCATTTAACCCTTTAACACCGTTGAGTGCATTAAGGACCAAAAATGGCCACATATTAAAGGTGCCTTCTGGAACTAAAAATCAAAAAATATTCCATACCAGATGGGGGCAGTATACCTCCAGAAAATGTGTTGTGCCGCTGCCGCACGCACTCACGTCTTCAAACAACACAAACGAGCGCTGTTTTGCTCTCTTTCTCCGCATATTATTCAAATCAATGACACGATAGTAAAAGGTCGGAAGACCGCAGTTTCACGTGGAGCATTTGGAGATTTTTAGAGATCAGAGACTCAATGAACAACATCTCAATACTAAATGATAAAGACCGACTCATAGACGCCTGTCTCAAAAACAAGCTGTTGCATTTCGACGATATGGGAAAATAAAAGCCTGCAGGCTATTATTTTAAGTTTACGGTATTCGTTTTGTTCATATTACACTTTTATTGTTAGTTTGAATTAATTTGACAGACAGCATTCGCTGATGTTGATCAACCTAGCGAAATTCAGAGCTGCCAGCTCTCACGAATTCACCGTGAGACACATGCAATTAACACTTAGCAAGCAGGTTAGTTAAGCTCTCAGATTCTGTCAATTTTATTATGCAATTCAAACAATAAATACCGTTTTGGCGCTTGTACATGTTACACCACAGATCCCTAGCGCACATGAACCGATCATCTCTACTAGCTAATGGAAAAAGAACCCGAACACTGTTGAAAGATACAGTATGCTACAACTTACCAAAATGTATTCCTCATGCATAATGTCAACCAATCATTTTTTGAACTCTTCCCTGAACTGAAATGTAGTAATGGGCTGTATTTCCACACGACTGACATCAGGTTCAAGTACACACACAAGCCGGCGCTAGCGCGACTCACTCGTGTACTGCAGTTTGGCTGGTGGTAATGTTGCCCGGCCGCATACCGCCTCCCATGGCCGGAACTGGTATTACGACACCTACCGGGCCGGGGCTAGTCATTTAGCATGCTAATTTAGGTTTATATCTCGGCAGCACTATAACTTGTCAGTTTTTTAATTACATCATTGCACTTATTTCTTCTCATTCTTTTGATGCGTGTAGCTCATTTTTTGGATATTTTTACCTCAATTATTACACATGGCACCTTTAAACATTGCCTAAAATATTATATATTATTATTATTTTCCACTTTTACCAAGTTAAATCTTATAACCAGCATCCGTCCTCATCATAACTACCAAAAATGTATTCAATTTCAGGATTTTAACCCTTAAATTACCAGTTTTGTTTGCGAAACCATCGATTTGTATAAGAGAAAAAAACACAAAAATTCAATCATTTTCAATAAACTAAATGCAAAGAGAAAACTTTAGATTTGGATTATCACAGTCCCACTTAGCGCGTTAGAGACCAAAAATGGCCACCTATTAAACATTGCCTATTGCCTAAAATAAGGTGCATTTCCACCCATAGGGAATAAATATGTAGTGACGTCATCTGGTGGAATACACTATATAATGCAAATATAATGCTTTTGCTTCAAAATGAAAGGATGTTTGTGCAAAAATCATGTTTCATGTATTACTGACAGCCTCAGATTTAAACAACGTTTTAATGGGTTTCAATGGGCCATTTTTGGTCTTTATGGTGCTGAGTGTTACTATTTGATCTACACAGTGTGTGTTATACATATTTTGCAAAATGGGATCACATTTTTTACATGTATCCAAAAAGTCACAATTTTGCCAAATTTCATACCATTTGCATTAAAACAGCCAAAATGGTCAAAGAAATTAAACTGCAAAAGACCAAAAATGTCCCTAATGCAGCATAAGGGTTAAGTTCCCTTTTTCCCTCATTATTGTACACACAGCACCCCATATTGACAGAAAAACACAGAACTGTTGACTTTTGTGCATTTATTAAAAAAGAAAAACTGAAATATCACATGGTCCTAAGTATTCAGACCCTTTGCTGTGACACTCATAGGCTGCGTTCACACTGCAGGCTGAAACGACCTAATTCCGATTTTTTTTTTTTTTTTTTTTTTTTTTTTTTTTTTTTTTTTTTTGCCCCTATGCGACCTGTATCTGATCTTTTCATGACAGTCCGAACGACACAGATCCGATCTTTTCAAATGCGACCCAGGCCACTTGGGTATGTGGTCCAAATCCGATATATATCCGATCTTTTGAAATGCGACTTCGATCTGAACGGCCAGGTCACATATATCCGACCCGCACGTCATTGCACGCACCTGTAGCTAGCCAATACACGCTAACTCCAACGCGTTTCAACCGCTGCAGACGTGTCTCTTCCCCAGTGTTGTGCCTGAACGTGTTCAATGAACGATAGTGCATGAACGCGTTCACATTTTGGGCGAACGTGACAGTTCACGTTCGCCCGAAATAAACGTACTGTATTACTGCCTAATGAACATTACTGTGAACACGTTCATTCTGGTGTCTGTGAACGTGCGCTCTCTGTCAGTTTAACTTCGTACAGTAGGGTGCCAGATTTCTATAGAGCCATCCAGGCTAAAACACATGTAAACATGCCTTAAAATGTAGCTAAAAAACACCCAATCTGGCAACACCAGCCACCAGTGTCGCACCGCGGCCGCCCGGCGACAAAGCAAGGAGCGCGGAGGACTCGTACTATCAATTAAACGGGTTTTATGACGAGGTCGGTGAGGATCGGAAAAATCTTACGTTTATGTGCAAACTTTGCCCGTCGATAAAATAATTGTTGTCTGTGTTTGTATATGGGCTGTGGCAATAATAATAATAAAACAAAAGCTCGCAACATATGGAAAAAAATAACTATTCCGCAAACAACAAGTGACGTCGTTGACCGTTGATTACTCTTCTGCGCATGCGGGTCATTTCACGTTCACACAGGAGATCACAAAAGGTCGCATTTAATTGGAAATGTGAACGGCCTTGCAAAAAAATCAAATTTTTTCAAAAAATCGGAATTGAGCATTAAGCCCTGCAGTGTGAACGTAGCCATATATGCTGTCTATTTCTTCTGAGATGGTTCTACACCTTCATCTGAGTCCAGCTGTGTTTGATTATACTGATTGGACTTGATTAGGAAAGCCACACACCTGTCTATATAAGACCTTACAGCTCACAGTGCATGTCAGAGCCAATGATAATCATGAGGTCAGAGAAACTGCCTGAAGGGCTCAGAGACTGAATTGTGGCAAGGCACAGATCAGAAATAAATGTCTGCTGCACTTAAGGTTCCTAAGAGCACAGTGGCCTCCATTATCCACAAATGGAAGATGTTTGGGACGACCAGTACCCTTCCTAGAGCTGGCCGTCCGGCCAAACTGAGCTATCGGGGGTGAAGAGTCTTGGTGAGAGAGGTAAAGAAGAACCCAAAGATCACTGTGGCTGAGCTCCAGAGATGCAGGCGGGAGATGGGAGAAAGTTGTAGTAAGTCAACCATCACTGCAGCAGTCCACCAGTCGGATGGATGGCAAAAACACCTGAAGGACTCCAAGATGGTGGTAAATAAGATCCTCTGGTCTGATGAGATCATCTTTTCGACCTTAATTCTAAGCAGTACGTGTGGAGAAAACCAGGCACTGCTCATCACCTGTCCAATACAGTCTTAACAGTGAAGCATGGTGGTGCAGCATGGTGTTTTCAGCTGCAAGGACAGGACGACTGGTTGCAATCGAGGGAAAGACGAATGCGGCCAAGTACAGGGATATCCTGGACGAAAACCTTTTCCAGAGTGCTCTGGACCTCAGACTAGGCCGAAGGTTCACCTTCCAACAAGACAATGACCCTAAGCACACCGCTAAAATAACGAAGAAGTGGCTTCACAACAACTCCGTGGCTGTTCTTGAATGGCCCAGACCTGAAAATGGCTGTCCACCAACGTTTACCATCCAACCTGACAGAACTGGAGAGGATCTGCAAGGAGGAATGGCTGAGGATACCCAAATCCAGATGTGAAAAACTTGTTGCATCTTTCCCAGGAAGACTCATGGCTGTATTAGATCAAAAGGGTGCTTCTACTAAATACTGAGCAAAGGGTCTGAATACTTAGGACCATGTGATATTTCAGTTACAATAATGAGGGAAAAACATCAACTTAAATGATTTTAGCAAATGGCTGCTATATAACAAAGAGTGAACAATTTAAGGGGGTCTGAATAATTTCCGTACCCACTGTAAGTGTGTATGTTGACCCACACATCTGAAAGATGGCGGAGGACACGACTAGGGTTGGGTATCATTTGAAATGTAATGAATATTTTAAACAAATGTAAAATAAAACTGCTCTTAATAAAGAACATATACATTAATATAGTGACAGCTGTTCGGCGAGTATGTTCTCAGTCTTCTGTTGTGTGGTTATAGAGACGGCAAGAATATGAGTGCTGTCACTTTAAGAGCAGCGGGTCTGACACACATGAGGACTCTCTCACTCGAATGGGTTAAAGTCATCTTGAAATACTCAAATACGAGTGTCCGATTCCCAACCCTAGACACGACTCCCAACCCTTGACAGTACGCATCATCAAGCACTGCTTTGTGAATTGTTCGTTTTAACGTGTTGGTTAATCGTGACAGTTGATTGGCTGCATCATCGGCCGCCAAGGTGCCAAGATCAACGAGATCCGCCAGATGTCCGGGGCACAGATCAAGATCGCCAACCCGGTGGAGGGCTCGACGGACCGTCAGGTGACCATCACCGGCTCGCCCGCCAGCATCAGCCTGGCCGAGTACCTGATCAACGCACGGTAACGCATCATCACCAACACCAGGCCGCCGTACCCTGTCCCGCACGGAGGCCGCGTCTGCATTACCCTTCAAACTGCACACGTTGAAAATACGCCCAATGGGAACGCGTCAATTTGGCAAAAACTCCCATAGACCTCAAAACAGTGTTTACACGCGCATGAGGGCGCTTCAGGCAATCCGGAAAAGGAATATTTAAAAAAAACTGCGATGGAAACGGTTGTACCTGACGCACGTCACGGTGATCGGTCTTTAAAGATGGCGCGGCGTGTTTGTAAACCCATAGATAACTATATAAAGGCTAGATATCTCGTCCGCGCTGCTGGCCAATGGAGGTCGACGTTAGCACCTGGCGGCCATCTTGTCACAGGCAGCTCGCTCACTCGTAACATTGTTTTAATGGTGCATGTACTTTTTAAATCACTGTAACTTGCTCAATTTTCTACCGATTTTCAAACGATCTGGTTTGTTATAAACGGCAGAGATGTAGTTATGATACTGCGTACTTATGAATAAAATGTGTATAAATAAATAATCATCCAGAATTATAGCCACGTTAAAAACGTTTGTAAGAAACCAAACCGTTTGTAAATCTGTCAAGATTTCAACGAGATAAAGAGAATGTTAGATACCACAGAGCCCGCCGTCTGTGACAAGATGGCCGCCGGTGATGACGATAAATACTCCGACGTGAGACATCTAGCCTTTCCATGGGTATCTATGTGTAAACCTGCTGACGTCCGCCGCCATGATGTTTGGATTGACTGATCGCGTGAGAAAAACATTACGTTTCAGTCACAACCATCGGTTAATGGAAACGCCGTCATTTCCGCAATGGTGTTTATCGACATTTAGAAAACATGGCAGAAGCGTAGTGCGAATGTGTAATGTAAACGCAGCTCGCGAGGGTCATCTGACACGTGACTGACTTCTGTTCTCTCGCTCTTGCAGACTCTCGTCCGAGGCGACAGGGATGGCTGCGAACTGATGCCCTCTCTCTCTCTCTCTCTCTCTCTCTCACCCCTCGCTCCGACCCTGTTCTCCTCCTCCATCACATTTACGCTCTCTAAGTGCAAAAGGAAACCAAGTATTTTCGACCCATCCTTTCCTTTCACCCACCCCAGCTATGCTTCATGGATATATACACACACACACAAGTGTTTTATTTATTTATTTCATGAAAATGTTTTTAAAATCCCTTTGCGTACAGTTTTTAATGTCTCTTTTCTTTGCGTATTTTTGTCAGTTAAACATTACCATACGTAAGCGACAGTGGAGAAAGTGGGAAAAATCTGAAAAACGCATTAATATGATTTTGTTATCTCAGATTTTTCTTATAAAAACAGAAAAAATAAAAAAGAGAGCAACTACAAAATGATAGATTGACCGTTTTTTTCCCTGTATCGGACATTTATTTATTTTAATTTAACTCTAGGAAGTTACGGATTTTAAGATCCTAGACGTGAGTGTCAGAGGATGCGCTCTGTTTTCTGCATCAGGTTTCAGATGACTTCGGTTTATTTTTCTTTTTTTGACATTGAATATTTGTCATTCCTCGATATTTGTGTTTTTTTTCTTCTTTATCCTGAAGTTGGAGGTTTTGTTCGAGGGAGGGTTGGGAGATGCTGCAGTTTCTGCACACATGACATTTACTGCTATAATAATAATGAGTTGAAAATATTTCTTTTAGAGAGAATATTTTTTTTAACCCTGTGTTTTCGAGCCCAGACTGGAGGATTCCCAATTGACCTTTATATGATGATGCGACTGAGTTACTGATCAATTACATGACTAGAAGAAACTTTCTAGACTTAACACTAGTTTCCTCTCGACTCTGCTTGAGTAATAGTTATGTTTTCTATTTTATTTTTTTCTATTTTATTTTTTTTTTCTCGCAGGAGGAAGGAAAACCTAAAACCTTTTTGTGCACGTTTTCTGAATATTGTAGATTTTTGGAGTGCAGCTGGAATGAAGAATTAAACATGCAAAATTAAAACATGAAATGCTGAAACTATGGCATGGCGTCCTGTGGTTTTTGTCTCCTGTATTGTGATATTGTGAGTGTAATGAATCATTGACAAAGTTGAAAATGTTAGGTCAGTGTTTCTGAACTCCTGAAGTCTCGAGTTTCTTCCGGGAACGAACACGTTACAGTATTCCTCATTATAATAATTCATGCGCAGAATAAAGGGGCGGGGCCTGTTTGAGTTGGTTAGTAGTGTGTTAAACTGGCGGTTATGGAAAGAGGCGGGACATTCCAAACACACTCAAAGCGCTCGACCAATCACAACACACTGCTCTAGCCGACCAATCAATATAATGAGGAAATCGTTTAAAGCTGTTCATGCGTTTTGGCCGTTCGTTTACACGACATAGCCGTTTTGGACGCCTGAGAACAGAACCTGTTGAAAACGGGTTTCGAAGTGCAGCTTTTTGAAAACGGCTTCAGTGTAAACTATAACAGAACATCTCTGAAGACGATGAAGTCATGCACATGTGTTTTACGTGTTCAGCCTATAGCGTTTCTTCTCTATCTAACGGCTGAATGCAGGGTTATTCGCCATTTCTGCGGTGAATAGGGATCGTTCATGGAGCTGGATTATTGTCTTTATTACATGCGAGAAAATGAATGATCAAAGAGCGAGAAAAATATTTGAGAAAGTTTTCATACAAATAGTGAATAATCAAAAATTTTGCTCTCTTATTTATTTTTTTAAATGAAAGAGTGAAAACTGAATGAAAACACTCCCAGTCCCTATTACTTTTAAATAACAGCAGGTGTATTTTGTAAAACATTGTATAAGAAAAAATGTTATATGTGTAATTCTAGACGTAATTTGGAAGAAATGACTATGATGCGCTTAATTGCTTTTTGTTTTTTGTAATATGAAGGAATTAATGAATTTAAGTGGGTTTTTTTCAGTTACATGTTCTGCAAGTTTTAAATTTTTTTTAAATTATTTCTGAGAGAAAAAATTTAAAATTCTTTGCTATCAGTGTGAAAATATTTTCTAAAAAACAAAAAGTGTTTCTCTCAAAATCTCAATTTCTTGCTCTCAGGATTTAGCTTTTTGTGTCATATATGCGGGGCCATGTTAGAACGACATGATGACGGTAATTAATGACAGTTTTTTCTTTTTTGTGTGAACTAACATTTAATAGTGTAAAAATTCCGGACAAATGACTCACTAATGCTACTAACAATCCTACTGTATTTACACACATTTTATTATGCTATATATATATATATATATATATATATATTAGGGGTGGCACGGTTCACGAAACCCACGGTTCGGTTTGTATCACGGTTTTAGGGTCACGGTTTTCGGTTCTGTACGGTTCTTGTTATTTTTTCTTTTAATCTTAACACTCCAGAAATGTACTTCAGCAAGTGATATATAGCTTAATTATCCACACTTTAGGATACAGTATTACAAATTATATTCATGCAATCATGCACAAACTGGATTTGACTCTTTGACTTTAAGCACATTTTGGGACTATCTCAGAGGAAAGCTAGGTGAGATTTAGATACAGCAAGAGAGAAGAAATTGACATGCTTTTTGTTTATTTGGCAAAAAAAGGAGAATGTGTATCACTATCTCTACAAGAACTTGTGCATTTTTATCACATAAATCTTATTTACACAAAGAAATTAACTTTCATGTATCAACTGCTAACTTTTGTAGCTCTTACCAAAATTCTATCTTTTAAAAGAAAAAGAGAGGAACTCTTAAAACACTGTCTTTTAAATGGCATTGCCTATAGATAATTAAGCTATAGCAATAGCAATGCCATAAACATAAAGTGAAATTTAAGTTCAACCTTAACACAAAAACAGTATCAACAATGCTTCTATTCCCAAAATGTGAGGGTACTTTTTTCCACTTAAAATTAAAGTGCAGGATTTGGAAACATATGACTGAAGCTCTTATCTAAACATAAAGTGCCACTGTAGCGTTATATTAAAATATCATAACATGAAATCCAAAATGTTCCCACACACCGGACTTATACCATAGACTCATACGACGCTGGCGCATCCTCCAACTCCCTCATCTCTCCCACTTGCCATTTCTCCGCGTGCCGTCCGTGACCTGCAGCGCTCCATACTTCACTTTTACTGGCTTGTTTACTAACTTGAACCGGCGCTGCACAGAGCGATCGGTAATGACATCAAATACCGCGAAAGTGATGAATGCATACAGAGCCGACTCGCGCTAGTTTGATGTTATTCACCGATCGCTCTGTGCAGCGCCGGTGTTCTGTCGATCTGTCCTACCTTGTCAGATTTTCCTACCGTAGCGCAAAATTATAGCCATATCTATCGGTTCTTCCTACCTCGTAAAATCCTACTGAGCGTTTCTGCTTCACGTCTGTGACTAAGTTACATAAAATATTTCTGTGTAACTTTGCCGAATTTTCTTATTAGGCCATGTTACGGTGATTTTACAGTGCAAAGTAACGTTACCTCTTCAGATTGTCCTATGAAATAAACGATAGGATGATTTTACGTTGCAAAATGCCTCATCAGATTGTCCTACCAGTATGAAATAAACGAGTAGAATGATTTTACGTTAATGTTTTCATGAAAAAAAATGCTAATATGAATTTGCTTTGTATGAATGTGAGAGTAAACAGTTCTCATTACTGCTATATATCTTTGTATAGTAATAATTGACAAAAATAGTGAAAAACTTACCTCAGATGAAGAAGATCTCGCGCAAGTAGTAAAATATTATGGGCGTGTTGTTCAGCGTGACAAAAATGACGTATTATTGATGTGCGCATGCGCAGTAAGCCTTGGTAGGACAATCTGACGGGTAGGATGGAATGTCAGAACACCGGTCCAAGTCGAACAAGTTTATGTCGCGCGAAAAGAAAACACACGTCACATACGGGCACGAGGTTACATTGCGCATGCGTCGAACCGTGAGACGCACACACGCACCGAACCGAGACAAGCGAACCGAACGGTTCGGGTGTTTTTTCATGTACCGTGCCACCCCTAATATATATATATATATGTTGTCCACCATTCACATCCATTGTCACCTATGATTGTCACCTCCACTTGTTCGTCTGTTACGCTGGAGCTGGAGATGTGCAGTGTGACGTCTGTACTGGAAGAAAACACAAAGCCGTCAAGTCCTGTCTGGTGTGTCTGATCTCAGTCACCTTGAACAACATGAGAGTTGGTTTAAAGGAAAGAGACACAATCTGACTGACGCCACTGGACGACTGCAGGAGATGATCTGCCAAACACATGATAAACTCCTCGAGGTTTTCTGCCGCACTGACCAGAAGTGTATATGTGTGCTGTGCAGCGCAGAGGACAGAGAAACAGGTATGAAACTAGACACTGATGAAATAATGTTGACACTGTTTATATTGGCACCATATGATCAGGAAACATCATTCACACTGCAGACGTCACAGAATCGAAGAGCATCACTGCTGAGTGTATGTACTTAGCATTTAACTTAACAGAAAATATGGTGAAAATAGACCTTAAACATTGATCAACAAAAACTTTTGTAAAACAGGCTTTAAAGCTTTCATTAACTGAGAAATCAAATCTTTTGACACATAAGATGTCATCATACTCTAAGAATGTCCTGTAAGTTTCAGAATTGAAAATTTCCTTGTTAGTCTAAAAACAGGTTTTATTGGAACCAAGCCCAGCGAACAGCTGATTGTGGAACGTGCCTCTATATGACGTACTAGTGCAACTAAAGACCACCTCTGCAGAAGAAAATCAACACCCAAAATCAACAAGTCTATGCCCAGATGTGATCCGTCCCTCAGGACCTCCCTGCAGAGCAGGTTCGTTGCGGGTGGCTTAGAGGAGTTGATCGTCGAGGGACCACTGATTCGGACTGACCATGGCTGGAGGGAGAACATGTTCTGGAAGACTGGATTCGGGTTCAGGATGATACAGACAGGACAAGGCATCCGCCTTGCAATTCTCGGTACTTGGCCGGTAGTTCAATGTGACGTTGAATCGTGTGAAGGACAGAGCCCATTTTATTATGCTATACAGTATATATATATATATATGTTGTCCACCATTCACATCCATTGTCACCTATGATTGTCACCTCCACTTGTTCGTCTGTCTGTCCATGACCACGGTTTGAGCAAAATTGCCGGTCATGTTACGTACACAAACATTTGTTTCTATTGTTGCTATATTATTAGTGAGGAAACTGAATATTCAATTGAATCCTCTAACCCAACCTACAAACATAGCCTACATGTGCAAAACACTAGACATGTTTTAGCTGATTTATAAGCCTTTTCAAATAGCAAGGACCAAAATGTCCTTCACTATATATAATTGAGGACATTTGGACCTCACAAATGTTTTTGTACGTTTTTGATTTATGAGTAATTTTAAGTCGTTTATGGTAAATTACTTTATTTAGTAAATTTGTTGCTTTATAGTCTACAGTTTTGTATCATTTATATGAACGTGAATTATTTAAGTTGTTTTACAATGTTCTGAAGGTGTTAAAGGGATACTCCACTTTTTTTTTGTAAATAGTCTCATTTGACAACTCTAAACAGTTGGGTTTTACCGTTTTTGAGACGATCTATTCAGTTGATTTTCTGATATTTAGACAGTTTCTGGTCCCATTGACTACCATAGTATGAAAAAATATGCTATAGTAGTCAATGAGACCAGAAACTGTCTGGTTACTGATATTCTTCCAAATATCAGAAAATCAACTGAATGGATTCGAAAATGGTAAAACTCGAATTTTTAACTCTGGGGGAGTTGTAAAATGAGCCTATTTCCAAAAAAAAAGTGGAGTATCCCTTTAATAAAGACAATAAACAGACAAAATTTTCTTTAATCAACCGGGCTGCAACAATTAAACATCAAGTAGTTTGAATGCCCCACCGTCAGCTATTTCTGGAGAAACATAACAGAGTTTCATTTCCATTTGGTAGAAACAGAACCATTGTTCCAGTGTTTATCGTTTCCCAGAACTACGATTGAATCAGGAATCTGCTTTTCAGACTTGTAGATAAACCTGTTTTCCACACGTCAATCAAAAACAGAACCAGATAAAAAGGAATCACACTCAGTGAATCACATTCAGAGTTCAGGTCAACTGAAGTGCAGTCGAGCTGTTGTGTGTCTCAAATGGCAGAAGCCAGAATTTCAGTGGATCAGGATGAGTCCCTGTGTCCAGTGTGTCTGGATCTCCTGAAGGATCCAGTGGCCATTCCCTGTGGACACAGTTACTGTAAGATCTGTATTACAGGCTGCTGGGATCAGGAGGACGAGAAGAGAGTCTACAGCTGCCCTCAGTGCAGACAGACCTTCAGTTCAAGACCTGCTTTAGCTAAAAACACCATGCTGGCTGAACTGGTGGAGAAACTGAAGAAGACTACACTTGGTAATGACTGTTACGCTGGAGCTGGAGATGTGCAGTGTGACGTCTGTACTGGAAGAAAACACAAAGCCGTCAAGTCCTGTCTGGTGTGTCTGGAGTCGTACTGTCAGACTCATTTTGACCGTCACGAGGAACATCACTCCCGTAAGCCTCATAAAGTGACCGACGCCACTGGACGACTGCAGGAGATGATCTGCCAAACACATGATAAACTCCTCAAGGTTTTCTGCCGCACTGACCAGGTATGAAACTAGACACTGATGAAATAATGTTGACACTGTTTATATTGGCACCATATGATCAGGAAACATCATTCACACTGCAGACGTCACAGAATCGAAGAGTATCACTGCTAAGTGTATTTGTACTTAGCATTTAACTTAACAGAAAATATGGTGAAAATAGACCTTAAACATTGATCAACAAAAACTTTTGTAAAACAGGCTTTAAAGCTTTCATTAACTGAGAAATCAAATCTTTTGACACATAAGACGTCATCATACTCTAAGAATGTCCTGTAAGTTTCAGAATTGAAAATTTCCTTGTTAGTCTAAAAACAGGTTTTATTGTAACCAAGCCCAGCGAACAGCTGATTGTGGAACGTGCCTCTTTATGACGTACTAGTGCAACTAAAGACCACCTCTGCAGAAGAAAATCAACACCCAAAATCAACAAGTCTATGCCCAGATGTGATCCGTCCCTCAGGACCTCCCTGCAGAGCAGGTTCGTTGCGGGTGGCTTAGAGGAGTTGATCGTCGAGGGACCACTGATTCGGACTGACCATGGCTGGAGGGAGAACATGTTCTGGAAGACTGGATTCGGGTTCAGGATGATACAGACAGGACAAGGCATCCGCCTTGCAATTCTCGGTACTTGGCCGGTAGTTCAATGTGACGTTGAATCGTGTGAAGGACAGAGCCCATTTTATTATGCTATACAGTATATATATATATATATGTTGTCCACCATTCACATCCATTGTCACCTATGATTGTCACCTCCACTTGTTCGTCTGTCTGTCCATGACCACGGTTTGAGCAAAATTGCCGGTCATGTTACGTACACAAACATTTGTTTCTATTGTTGCTATATTATTAGTGAGGAAACTGAATATTCAATTGAATCCTCTAACCCAACCTACAAACATAGCCTACATGTGCAAAACACTAGACATGTTTTAGCTGATTTATAAGCCTTTTCAAATAGCAAGGACCAAAATGTCCTTCACTATATATAATTGAGGACATTTGGACCTCACAAATGTTTTTGTACGTTTTTGATTTATGAGTAATTTTAAGTCGTTTATGGTAAATTACTTTATTTAGTAAATTTGTTGCTTTATAGTCTACAGTTTTGTATCATTTATATGAACGTGAATTATTTAAGTTGTTTTACAATGTTCTGAAGGTGTTAAAGGGATACTCCACTTTTTTTTGTAAATAGTCTCATTTGACAACTCTAAACAGTTGGGTTTTACCGTTTTTGAGACGATCTATTCAGTTGATTTTCTGATATTTAGACAGTTTCTGGTCCCATTGACTACCATAGTATGAAAAAATATGCTATAGTAGTCAATGAGACCAGAAACTGTGTGGTTACTGATATTCTTCCAAATATCAGAAAATCAACTGAATGGATTCGAAAATGGTAAAACTCGACTTTTTAACTCTGGGGGAGTTGTAAAATGAGCCTATTTCCAAAAAAAAAAGTGGAGTATCCCTTTAATAAAGACAATAAACAGACAAAATTTTCTTTAATCAACCGGGCTGCAACAATTAAACATCAAGTAGTTTGAATGCCCCACCGTCAGCTATTTCTGGAGAAACATAACAGAGTTTCATTTCCATTTGGTAGAAACAGAACCATTGTTCTAGTGTTTATCGTTTCCCAGAACTACGATTGAATCAGGAATCTGCTTTTCAGACTTGTAGATAAACCTGTTTTCCACACGTCAATCAAAAACAGAACCAGATAAAAAGGAATCACACTCAGTGAATCACATTCAGAGTTCAGGTCAACTGAAGTGCAGTCGAGCTGTTGTGTGTCTCAAATGGCAGAAGCCAGAATTTCAGTGGATCAGGATGAGTCCCTGTGTCCAGTGTGTCTGGATCTCCTGAAGGATCCAGTGGCCATTCCCTGTGGACACAGTTACTGTAAGATCTGTATTACAGACTGCTGGGATCAGGAGGACGAGAAGAGAGTCTACAGCTGCCCTCAGTGCAGACAGACCTTCAGTTCAAGACCTGCTTTAGCTAAAAACACCATGCTGGCTGAACTGGTGGAGAAACTGAAGAAGACTACACTTGGTAATGACTGTTACGCTGGAGCTGGAGATGTGCAGTGTGACGTCTGTACTGGAAGAAAACACAAAGCCGTCAAGTCCTGTCTGGTGTGTCTGGAGTCGTACTGTCAGACTCATTTTGACCGTCACGAGGAACATCACTCCCGTAAGCCTCATAAAGTGACCGACGCCACTGGACGACTGCAGGAGATGATCTGCCAAACACATGATAAACTCCTCAAGGTTTTCTGCCGCACTGACCAGGTATGAAACTAGACACTGATGAAATAATGTTGACACTGTTTATATTGGCACCATATGATCAGGAAACATCATTCACACTGCAGACGTCACAGAATCGAAGAGTATCACTGCTAAGTGTATTTGTACTTAGCATTTAACTTAACAGAAAATATGGTGAAAATAGACCTTAAACATTGATCAACAAAAACTTTTGTAAAACAGGCTTTAAAGCTTTCATTAACTGAGAAATCAAATCTTTTGACACATAAGACGTCATCATACTCTAAGAATGTCCTGTAAGTTTCAGAATTGAAAATTTCCTTGTTAGTCTAAAAACAGGTTTTATTGGAACCAAGCCCAGCGAACAGCTGATTGTGGAACGTGCCTCTATATGACGTACTAGTGCAACTAAAGACCACCTCTGCAGAAGAAAATCAACACCCAAAATCAACAAGTCTATGCCCAGATGTGATCCGTCCCTCAGGACCTCCCTGCAGAGCAGGTTCGTTGCGGGTGGCTTAGAGGAGTTGATCGTCGAGGGACCACTGATTCGGACTGACCATGGCTGGAGGGAGAACAGGTTCTGGAAGACTGGATTCGGGTTCAGGATGATACAGACAGGACAAGGCATCCGCCTTGCAATTCTCGGTACTTGGCCGGTAGTTCAATGTGACGTTGAATCGTGTGAAGGACAGAGCCCAACGGACTAGTCTTGGGTTGAGTCACTTGGCTTCTCTGAGATATCTCAGGTTCCGATCTGTGATGACTTCAAAATGGGGGTGAGCTCCCTCCAGCCAGTGACTCCCTTTCTCCAAGGTGAGCGAGATGGTCCTCACTGCAGAACACGAAATCCAGGGGTTACATATACCTAATCCCACACATCTACGCCCCCTGATCCCTAGCCCCACCCCTAAACCTTCCCATCTCCACCCCCTGATCCCTAACCCCACCCCTAATCCTACCCATCTCCACCCCTTATATCTGGATACAACTCCGCCCCCTGGACCTCGTGTACTGCAATGAGGTGCTACTGAGGCGAGCTTGATCACCAGCAGCTCACGATTTCCAATATCGTCATTCCAACAGCTTCTTGGAGTAGAAGGCGCATGGATGGAGACGAGGAGGCTCACCCTGCCGCCCGGTGGTAGAGGCATCAACTTCAACCACGAATTGGAGTTCTGGATTGGGGTGTATGGAGTGTTGATGAAGGCATTCTTCAGGCATTGAAAGGCTTCTGTGGCCAAGAGGTTCCAGGACAAAGACTTGGGCTGGTTTCTGAGGAGTGAGGTGAGCTGAGGAGACTGTAATTCTGGATGATTCTTCGGTAGAAGTTGGCGAAGCCTAGAAAGCATTGGAGTTCCTTCATGGTGACAGGTTGGGGCCAGTTGTGAATAGTGTCCACCTTCCTCTGGTTCATTTGGATACCTGGTTGGTCGATGATATAAGGAATGAACTGGAAGGATGGGGTGTGGAACTTGCACTTCTCAAACTTGGAATAGAGGTGGTGTTTTCTCAGCTTTTGGAGGACCTGAATCACGTGTTGGCGATGTTCGGTCAGGTTCTGGGAGTAGATCAGAATATCGTGCATGTAGACGATGACGAAGCGTTGGGGGTATATGGCATCCCCTGGTACTCGTAGTGGCCTGTAGGAGTGATAAACACTGTCTTGCTCGCGTATCTTAATGCGGTTGTAGGTGCTTCCCAGGTCCAGCTTGGAGAAGATGCAAGTCCCACTGAGCCATTTCAGGGCGGCAGGGACCAGAGGAAGAGGATAGCTGAATTTGACGGTTTGAGGGTCGAGTAGGGGCCCAATGCAGCGTTTGTCCAGACAACAGTGAGATCATAAAGGCGATACCATGGTTGAAGCCATGCCTGCATCTCAAAGTACAATGAATATTGTAGTAGAAACCCGTTGCAATCCTCCGCCTCACTATTGTATGTCGCTGGTAAACTTTTTATCAAAGGTGCATCAGAGTGCGCAGGATCCAAACCTAAACTCATTTATAGTAAATTGAGTGTCCAGTTTAGTTTCTATTGAGATTTTAAAGTTGATCATTAATAAAAAAAAACCATTGCTCTATATTCACTTTATCTCAAAATTAATTCAGTGTGCTTTTAAATAATGCAAATCTCTTGAAAGAAATTCAGTCTGGATTTAGATCGTACCGTAGTACTGAGACAGCTCTCATTAGAGTCACAAATGATCTGCTGTTTTCATCCGACCTTGGTTGTATCTCTCTGGGCGGCAGTGGCTCAGTGGTTTATGTAGGTTGACTACAAACTGGAAGGTTAGTGGTTCAATCCCCGGTTCCACATTCCACATACCCCTTTTCCACCAACAAGAACCAGGTGCTGGTTCAGAGTTGGTTCGACTGATGAGCTTTCAAAGAACCGGTTTGCTTTTCCACAGTCTAGAGAGCCATCACAGGGCCAGCACTTACGTCACTGTATACATCTCATGTTGCTGTTGCCCAGCAACGCTAACGCGGCACACACAAACACACCAGGCTTGTTCGAGATGGTTCGGCACTGTGAATGTCGAACTGCGAGAGCGATTCGAAAAAACATTCGAAAAAGATTCGATTCAAAAACAGAAGGAGACGTAAACTCTCCAAACACTCTCGCAGCTCCGATCAGTCCACGCTGCTCCGATGCATCTCGAACAAGTCTTCCATAAACATCGGCGGTTGTTGCGTTACTATTTGCTCCCGGCGAGCTGGATGGCACCTTGCATGGCTGACACCGCTGTCTGTGTGTGAATGGGTGAATGTGAGGCAACTGTAAAGTGCTTTGGTGGCTATACGCCTTATTCACGGCAGCGCCATCTTTGATTTTTAATGAGAATGAAAGCGAGGCTGTGAGGGATAGACTTGCATCTCTTCAATGGGCTGTACTGTTATTTAATGTGTTTTCGGATTGTTCTGCTCATGAAACATTGGAAAAATATCTTTCCAAGAAATTACAGTTGACAAAAAACTCCCGACAATGTAAGTTGTGGAAAATTGTAAGTAATCTAGGAGCTTTATTCAGCTTTTTACAGCAGATGCCATTGGAAACACGGTAAGACTATCCCTCACAGCCTCACTTTCATACCTGTCATGGCGCTGCTCTGAATAAGGTGTATTGGGTCTGTGAAAGCGCTATATAAATGCAGTCAATTTGCCATTTACCATGTTTTCTGTAGAGTTTCCAGTCTCTCTCAGCTCCTCCTGAATCTACAGACGTCAATGACAGTCCCTTCAGTCCTCTCTCCTCTTTTGATGGTGTGCCTGTCCATCAGCTGAAAGACAAACTGGAGGAGAGAAGGGAAGAGGAGAAGAAGATCTCTGACAGAGGTAAAGTCCTGGAGATCCTGCTCTCATAAATTATCCTCCATCATCTCAGATCATGCCAGAGAAGATCATATTAGAAATGTCTTAGGAACGGATGCAGGGATCATTTTCTCTAGACATGATAATCACACTCTTCATGTCTGTTATTTCCACAGTCACTCTCTCCAACATTGTTCCCAGGACCAGGAACGACTTCCTACAATGTAAGTCACTGAGAAAACCAGCAGAAAACTCTCTGAGTGTGTTCATGTTCTTCCTGGAGAAGTGGAAGAAAACATGACAGAAGATTTTTATAGTTGATCATGGAAATGATGATTTGCACAGGATACCTGCTAAACTGTACTGAGACACTTCTGATATATTGAACATGAAGAGTTTAGATAGATTAAACGATCAGACAGATTCATAATTCCTGATTCTGATGTGTTTTATGTCCATCAGATTCCCGTCAGCTCAATCTGGATCTGAACACAGTGAATGAACACCTCCGTCTGTCTGAGGATAACCGAGTGATTACTGACACTTTCCCAGAATCTCAGTCCTATCCTGATCATCCAGACAGATTTGATCATTTTGCTCAGGTGTTGTGTAGAGAGAGAGTGTGTGGACGCTGTTACTGGGAGATTGAGCAGAGTGGTAGACGTCTGTATATATCAGTGTCATATAAGAGCATCGGCAGAAAGGGAGAGGGTGATGAGAGTTTCTTTGGATCTAATAAACAGTCCTGGAGTTTGTTATGCTCTTTCTACAGATACTCATTCAGACACAATAACATACAGTTTAAACTCCCTGTAAAGCCCATCAGCAGCAGAACAGGAGAGTGTGTGGATCACAGTAGAGCAGGAGTTGGTGTGTATCACAGAGTAGGAGTGTATGTGGATCACAGTGCAGGAACTCTGTCCTTCTACAGCGTCGACAGAGACACAATGACCCTCATACACACAGTCCAGACCACATTCACTCAGCCGCTCTATCCTGGGTTTATGGTTTATTATGGATCATCAGTGAAACTGTGTTGATGAAGAGGGATGGTATTCATCCCTTCTGGGCTGGTGCTGCTCTTCTCTCTAGTAATTTGGCTCATAGCCTTAGAGCTAAAACATGACATAATATTAATATTCGATTTACTTCAAAAGCACGTATTGTTAATGATATGATTACAGATTATAACCTACATGTGCTGTGTATGACCGAAACCTTGCTAAAACCAGACAATTACAATACTTTACCCTGCAAGATTACTGCTATATACTGTACATGAGCCTCATCTGTAAGGGAAAGGGGGAGGTGTTGCTGTAATTTATAGTAATATCTTCAGAATTACTAAAGTCTAAGTTTTGGTGCTAAATGTAATATATACTGTAAATGATAAATCACGTTTGAGATTTGTGGTGGCTACTGTATACAGGCCACCAGGGCGCCATACAGACTTTATCAAAGAATTTGCATCAGAATTAGTCCTGTCTGCAGATAAAGTCCTTATTGTTGGTGATTTTAATTTACATGTAGATAATGGAAAAAGATGCATTGGGATTGGCATTTAAAGACATTCTTAACTCACGTGTTAGGATCCACTCGTAATCATACGCCAGATCTAATATTATCACATGGAATAGATGTTGATGCCGTGAAACTCTGCAGCAGAGCGGCGACATCTCAGATCACTATCTAGTCTCATGTAAATTACATTTACCCAAGGCTGCAAATTACCCAAGGCTATTACTTCTGCAACTAAAGATCGCTTTATTAATAATATACTTGATCAGTTTAATCTCCTCAGAATCCCGGATAGCTTAGAAGAACTCGATTTTGCAACAGAAACTCTCTCTTTTCCAGCACTTTAGACGCAGTTGCGCTCAAAGGCCCTTAAGAGAGCAGCCGGAAAAATGGAGCACAACTAGAAGAAAAGTAAACTAGAGGTATTTCGTATTTCATGGAAGGAGAGCTCGATTGCATACAGAGATGCCTTAAAAGCTGCTAGATCTGCTTATTTTTCAACATTATTAGAAGAAAATGAACAAAACCCTAGGTATGTATTTGAAACAGTGGCTAACTAAACAAAAAATAAAGCTTTATCCCCAGAAGTGTCCGAGCAACACAGCAGTAATGACTTTATGAACAACTGTACTTACAAGATTGATAATATTAGGGAGAAAATTATTACTATGCAACCATCTACTACAGTATTGCAACAGGCGGTGCATTGTAAGGAAAAGTTTGATTCATTCATAGCTATAGGAGAGGAAGAATTTTCTAAATTTGTTAAACTACGCATCTAAATCGACTAATTGTATGTTAGACCCTATAGCAACTAAGCTACTACTGAAGAGATGCTTCCAGAGGTCATAGATCCTCTTCTTAATATCATTAACTCATCCTTGTCATTAGGATACATACCAAAAACCTTTACGTTGGCTATTAAACCACTTTTAAAACAACACAACTTGATCTTACAGAATTAGTCAATTACAGGCTGATCTCGAATCTATCTTTTCTGTCAAAGATATTGGAAAAGGCAGTATCCTCACAACTGTGTTCCTTTTTAAGTTAAGTCATCTGCAGAGTGAACAGTAGCGGCCCTAGTACTGAGCCTTGTGGTACACCATACTGAACTTGATCTGATGACGGACCGGCGACTGATTAGCGGCCCCTAAGTAAATAACAAATGATCATTGTGACAAAAGTGAATCAACACTACATTTAGCTGGACAATAACTTCATTCTAGAGCTGCTGTAAAGCCAAAACAATCTCTGTTACTTTAATTTCATATGATCAAAAAGCTGCTTTAAAACAATCTGTATTGTTAAAAGCGCTATATAAATGAAGGTGGCTTGACTTGACTGCACACACACACAAGGTCTCTCTCCCTCGCTACACGGACACATTAATTCGATGAGTTTTAACTAATTTGCGGGCATCAGAGAGCCGCTATCAATATGCGGGAGACTCCCGGAACTTCCGGGAGACTTGGGATGTCAGCTCACATTTTGTCTCGTGCATCAGGTTGAGCAGTCAGTTTGCTCGCAACATCAGTGATGGATTAAAATAGCTGTTGAGCTGAGCTGCAGGCCACGCCCCCTTCTGGTGCTGCTGGGTGTGGCGCCCATCTGCAGTCAGCTAGTTAGTCACCAGGTGGGAAGGATCTGGTGATTAGGGGTTTTGGAGTCACTCACAGAGGGTTAAGCGGAGCTGGGAAAATGAGACTGCAGGACTAAAGCTTGTTTGAACAAGGAATGAGTCGGTGAGCATTCGTTTGTGCAGTGTGGAGGATTTTAACATTAAAGTGAATCATATAATTATTTTTAGGGTAAAATGTGTGTATAAAATCATGTGTTAAAAATTGTGTATAAAATCATGTGTTTGAATTGTAAGCTAAAGTGTTATGCATTTAACATTTATGAAGGTTTAAAAGCATATAGTTAAAAGAAATGTATTGTAAAGTTTTAAAAGAGTTAAAAAAGCTGCTAGAGTTAAGGTTAAAAGCTTTTTGGCAGTGCTTTAAAAGTGTCTTCAATTGAAAAGTGTCCTCAAAAATGATGCTTTATTATGGTTACTTGGGTTTATTACGTGTTTTTTTTATTTACTTGTGTTTGTGTTTAAGGTTTTTACCTGCTTTTGGTCATGACAATTTTAAAATGAAAGAATTGATTCCTGGTCATTGAGTAAAATCCAGTCCAAACCTTCAGAAGCATAGTGTGGGAAACTGCAGGGATAAACTTCACTAGAGTGAGGGAATTTGACAAAAGCGCCACCTCAAACATAGGTTAAATTAAAATGGTGTTTACAAAGTGAAGCACTAAATGTAAAGGCAGTTAATAACAGTAGCAGTAAAATATTTAGTTTTAATCACTGTACTCAGTGTTTTTATGTGCACTAATGCACCATTTTTCTTGTCCCTTTAATCAAGTCTGTTAGCTTGATGCATAAGTTACCTCTATTCCGTTCTCTTTTTATAGCATTTGTCTTAAGTTTTAATTGTTTTTCAAATGCTTGTTTTCAGTCTTTCTATATGTATTTGATCAATTTATCCTTATAATTAAATTAATTTAAATAAAAATTAATGATGTTTTTGTTTAAATAAAAATTAATGGTGTTTTTGTTTAATTAGAGATGTTTTTAGTTTATATCTTCACATCTGAACAACATGTGTGTGTAAATTTGTTTTAACAAAAATTGTGTTAAAACATAATATGTTGGATAAATATTTTGATTTTACATTAATCATGGTTGTCAACTTGCCATCAGCAATTATCATTAAAAACAACGCAAATATTGATATTATTGAATCTCAATGTGTGGCTTTTGCACTTTTTAATGTACACTATTACCCTTGTGGCGTGCAGGACGAGGGCCGTGAGAGAGCGCCGCGAGGCCGAATGAACGACACCTGTGAGACGCACCTCGCATCTCTCACGTTCCTTGGCCTTGTCCTGCTCGCCACAACCCTGATTAAGGGTTATAATAAACAAAGAAAAAAATTTTATCCGGTTAATCGGAAAAAAAAAATAATAGTTTGATTAATCGATTATCGAAATAATCGTTAGTTGCAGCCCTAGTCGTTCCACCGACGCATGCGCACAGTTGAGGTTTGCGACAGCGGAAAATACGTTACTGTTTGAAAAGGCGGTAGATTTGATTTGTGTTAGTTGTGTAAATATCAGACGTCGCAAGTCTCCAGGAAGTTCTCCCGCGGATTTCCCTGATCGCGCAAATTAGTTAAAATCTGCCGGAATCTAGAGCGAGCAGTAGCGCGCGACAGAGAGCGAGAGAACCCTTGCGCTGCGCATAGTAAAAGTATAACCTGTGTGGGAAAAGCCGTTTTAAACCTTATTTTGGGGCAAAGTCATTAAACGTTTTTAGCGATTTTTACCATATTTTACTGCTGTTTCTATACAAGCGGTTTTTTTTTTGTCCCGATGACCAGTGAAAGTGCAGTTCTGACTCTCTGCCTATTCATTTAGATAGAGCCTGGTCTTGTTAGTCCGAAATAGCTGCCCGAAGGCGTTGCCAAGATGGTGTCCGAGTGGCAGGACTTGCCTAAGGACTGATGTCGCCGACAGTACAGCAGGTGAATCCATATATTTAGTTCTTCTTGATATTTCCACATTTCCTACAGAGGATACAACTGGGGACCGCACAGAAGTTCTACAACTTTATAATTGATATTATAATTATAAATAATAATTGAAAATTTTAAAAATATGTAAATGAACTGTTCAATATTCTAATGCACTTCCTGTGAATAGTAATGAATTGTTGTATATCATTCACCTTGGGTTACGGGCTGTGTAGAGTAGTAACTGTTAAACCGAAACACATTATTGTGCCCGTGAATGCTGTTTTAGGTGGATAACAGTACAACGCTTTGTTCACTAAAGAAATGAGAGGTTAGCAAGTTAGCAACCAATGTTACATGACGACCATGGAAACATTTGTATTCGTGCTGAATGAGAGAGATGCGTGCTAGCCCATAAACTATAATTGAGCCATATTTTGAATTAAATGTTGTGATTTTACACAAATTTAACAGAAACCTATTCCATGAATTAGAGCAGAGCGGGATATACCACCATACATTTGTCTTTGTAGGGAAATATAATTTAACTTAGCTAAAATATAGTGTCATTTATATTGCTTTACATGTTCAACGACTTTACTTATTGCTATTTTAATGCACTTTAAAAGCTTGAATCACATTAAAAGTGTAATTTCAGCATTGTTGATTTCTGCATAAATATTACCACAGTGGTTTTGTTGCACTTTTTCAGCTTAATGCAGAAATGCAGCTTAATGCAATACAATTTCTAAGCGTCAAAACAGTTTCATTAAAAATTGTTCCATTTCATGAACTATAATTTATCATAAATTGTGTAATCAAACATCAGGGAAATAAGGCTACCAACCAACATAATTGATGTTCCAGCATTGTAAAATTCAATTGCTTTAATTAACATTGTAAGTTTGAGGCTGTTTTGTGTCACGAATTTTCTTTAGGGGCCCAAAGTGATGCACCTTCTCAAGAACCCTAACCATAACCCAACATCTGAGAACCACTGACCAAGACTAAACCAACCTTCACTAGAACCCTAACCCCAAAACCCTAACCCTAACTGTCTGAGAACCACTGACCAAGACTAAACCAACCTTCACTAGAACCCTAACTCTAACCGTCTGAGAACCACTGACCAAGACTAAACCAACCTTCACTAGAACCCTAACCCTAACTGTCTGAGAACCACTGACCAAGACTAAACCAACCTTCACTAGAACCCTAACCCTAACTGTCTGAGAACCACTGACCAAGACTAAACCAACCTTCACTAGAACCCTAACCATAACTGTCTGAGAACCACTGACCAAGACTAAACCAACCTTCACTAGAACCCTAACCCTAACTGTCTGAGAACCACTGACCAAGACTAAACCAACCTTCACTAGAACCATAACCCTAACCCTAACTGTCTGAGAACCACTGACCAAGACTAAACCAACCTTCACTACAACCCTAACCATAACTGTCTGAGAACCACTGACCAAGACTAAACCAACCTTCACTAGAACCCTAACTGTCTGAGAACCACTGACCAAGACTAAACCAACCTTCACTAGAACCCTAACTCTAACCATCTGAGAACCACTGACCAAGACTAAACCAACCTTCACTAGAACGCTAACTCTAACCGTCTGAGAACCACTGACCAAGACTAAACCAACCTTCACTAGAACCCTAACCCTAACTGTCTGAGAACCACTGACCAAGACTAAACCAACCTTCACTAGAACCCTAACCCTAACTGTCTGAGAACCACTGACCAAGACTAAACCAACCTTCACTAGAACCCTAACCATAACTGTCTGAGAACCACTGACCAAGACTAAACCAACCTTCACTAGAACCCTAACCCTAACTGTCTGAGAACCACTGACCAAGACTAAACCAACCTTCACTAGAACCCTAACCCTAACTGTCTGAGAACCACTGACCAAGACTAAACCAACCTTCACTAGAACCCTAACCCTAACCGTCTGAGAACCACTGACCAAGACAAAACCAACCTTCACTAGAACCCTAACCCTAACTGTCTGAGAACCACTGACCAAGACTAAACCAACCTTCACTAGAACCCTAACCCTAACCGTCTGAGAACCACTGACCAAGACTAAACCAACCTTCACTAGAACCCTAACTGTCTGAGAACCACTGACCAAAACTAAACCAACCTTCACAAGTTTGCATTTAAGCCTGGGAAACTGGGACGATTCAGCGTCTTTACACTAAGGCTTCACGTCTGACATTAGACACATTTATATGGAAGGCAATAGTCTGGTTCAGTTTTACTGTCTCCTCACAAGACAATAATACCATTGACAATAATACCGCTGTTTTGGTCCAGATTCTGGAGCCTGGTTACTGACCGAAGTTTGCACAATAGTGGAAAAGAGTACATCTGAGGCTATTTTGTAGCTTAGCAGTTATTTAATAATTATATATTTTTATTTTTTACAAGTTCACAAACATAAAACGTGTCATCAGATGGTTTGCTGTAGGATGATGGATTGAGGTGTTTACATGACTTCAGTAATCTCAGTTCATTCATGCTTTTAGCAAATATGCCAGAAAAATGCATTTTTTCTTTACATAGCAATTTCTTAGTCATAGTCAGATTATTGCTGTCTATGTAAATGTGACCAATTGGATGACTTTTGAGTTTTAGAATACAGCTGCCAACGTTCAATAGTCCAATTTCCATTCCTCATCAGAAAAAAGATGTGGTTTGAGGTGTCCGAAACCTTTAAAAAGGCTGTTTTTACTGGAGGATTGCATCTATAGATCCATCGTTAAATACATTTTGAGTGCAACATGAGAAAGTGATCATGTACTGTATATAAACATCCTACTGTAAAGTGCCTACAAGCAACACAACGTTACACATTCAAGGTAAAAAAGGTGCAAACATTTCTTTAGATGTATAAAAACAATCAATTTAAAAATTAAAATACATAAAAATGTATATCATGCATTTTGTTCTTCAGGACATTACCCTTCTCAGACCTACATCTGGCAAGCTAAAATTCATATACTTTTTTTTATTGTCATTTATTTGTTTTACTTTATTTTTACAGTGCAGAAAATAAAAGTGCTTTCTTCAGATTAGTTGAAATGTACATATTGCATGTCCCTACCAAAGAAAACAGTATTGAAAGATAATCCGAGAGGTCAGAGGAGAGCGGACAGTTGAACGGACATCTCCGTGTCGTAGATCGTGTTCGTTTACGTGTGCCGTTCAGTCTGTGTTCATGTAGACTTGCATCAAAGGTCCTGCACCTGACTGTAGAACTGTACATTTACACAGCGATCTGCTGATCTCAGACCAGTTTGAGCTGCCGTGGTCGAGTGGCACAAGCACAGGAGAGAATAGTCGAAACCGGACCGTCTTCTGGTTAAATTACGTTACCAAATAGTTTTCTTTCGTATTCTTAGACTTAGATTACTAAATATATATTTACATACACTCCGGACGTTATAGTCGTAATAGATCACATTCGTATATGCACCTTGTAAATGCTTTGGAAAGGAAGCATCTGTACATAGTAGTGAAGTCAGTCCCAATCTTCATTACGTCACCACTTTATCCAGCCGAAGGAGGAAGATTCCTGCGATCAGGAGTTTCGTTCGGCTCTACACATTCAGAATCGATCTACACTCTTTGACTTCGAATCGTCCTTCCACACACTAACGGACATGTGGTGAATAGCACGAACCTAACGAAAGCATCACTGCTGCTTATTGGGAATGCCCTGAAGTTTTGAATTGCATTGGTCTTTTCACATGGTTCGTCTCGTCTTCCTAGATTTTCCGTGGCGGACACGAGGCAGTTTGATATCCCCAATTTGTTATGACCAGTGTCAGTGTATTTGTTCTTTGTGTGGCTAGACGTGTTCTTAGATGATGTGTACACACACGTGTTTCACGAATATCAGTTTTACTTTGGTGCAACCTAAAGTGAAAGTGTGTGCTGGTGTGATGCATGTGTGTGCTTGATTGCACGGGTTCACGTGTGTGTGTTTCAGTTTTGTGGCCCCTGGCCCCAGCCTCCTGCACTCGGGGGACGGCTCGGCTCTCCGCTGCCTGATTGGTCAAGCTCAGCGCTGTCACAGTCCGAGTCCTCACATAATGCGCGAGTCTGGGAACAGGATAGAGAGCAAGATTAAAGTCTCGAACACATTATATATGATGCTCGTCAGATTGACTATTCATAAAAAAGAGTTTTTCACGTCTGTTCCTGGAGGTTCACCGTCCACGGGTGCGTTTCCCGTACAACTATGTAACTCGCTGTTTCACTGCCGTAGTACGATGCATCGTTGGAGAAATCAACTAGCTAGTCACGACTGTTTCCCGAAGTATCGTTCAACCACGTTGGTTTCGCACGTGGTGGAGAAATAACTACTTTTAATGAAACTGTTTGAGATCCAATTAACGCGAGATTTGTTTTATATAAATTATAGACATGTCATCTGAGGACTATTTCTAATTGTTCTCAGTTGTTTTGCTTTATTACCAGACTCAATATTTGGCTCGTTCTTACATAGTAGAGCTCGTTCGCACATGCGCACTCTTCAAAGACGGTACTTTAAATATTTTGAAAAACCAACGTGACATCATGACTTTTGCGTAAACATACACGCCACTTTCGAGTCAAGTGGTGTGTTATCTCTACGCATTTTGAGCTATCCACGTGTATCCGCGTGTTTGCGTGTATGTCTACGCTATTAACGTTATTAGATCTCCAGTCATAAATGCCATTGACCCCAGTGACGGTTAAGTTTAGGGATGGGGTTGAGGTAAGTCATATATTTATATAACGTTAAGTCAACGGCGTTCATAAACGCGCTGAAAAGCGATTATGCGTCTTGATAGCACGCCAAAAATGGAAATACGAATTGGCGTGTCATACACACGCTACTTCATGAGATCAGTCTGGAAAAACTAAAGACGTAAATTACATTTGTATGTATTCTAAATAAAAGGCACCGGTTGTACTGAATGTCAGCTTGCTTATTTTGCTGAATAAGGATTTATTACGTCCAAATGTCATGCAATATAGAAACGATGCTTCTAACCACAGGTCGAGAGCTGTCGATCAAACCACACAACTTTGTGATGCTGTTTGCAAATGTTCATTGGAACGATGGTTTCGGGAAACACCGACTTGTTGAACTATGCTGATAACGACCGAACTTTCGACCATAGTTGGCTAACGATGCTTTCGGGAAATGCACCCCAGGGCTGCGTTTTCCGTAACTCGCTGCACAACTAAAATAGTACGATGCATCGTTGAAAAAACTAACTAGCTAATCACGAATCATTTTTGCAAATTGGTGGTTGAACCACGTGTGTCAACGAAGTCACTCAGGTGGTGGAGATCTGTCGTTCCAAACACACAACTCTGCGATGCTGTTTGCGAACGTTCGGTTTCGGGAAATACCGACTCGTTGAACTATGCTGATAACGCAAAACTTGCGACCAAAGTTGGCAAACAATGTTTTCGGGAAACACACCCCTGATCAAACTCACCTACTGTAGTTTCCAGTCATCCTAAAGGTGTGTTTAATCAGCTCAACTCTGCAGGACAGTGGATGTCCAGAGCCAGATCTGACATGGACCCTAATATTAGCAATTAAACTAGTAGCCCAGTCCGAAAAAAAAGTCACATGTAACCATATTAATTGGAATGAATTGGCCCAATCCTTTTCTAACCCATTGGATAGGATATGCAAAAAGCAATACTAGTACCTCCAGGATATTTTGTTCCAGGTCAAAATTGGCTCTCTCCTGTTCGAGGGCGGCTGCCTCTCTTTCAGACAGAGCGGGGTCTGTAATATCCACAGGGATCTCAGACCCTTGGGAGATGAGGTCATCGCTGCGGTCGTCCAGACGCTCGTCGGTGTTGGTACTGACAACGTCTGGTGTGCCGCTGTGGGAGTGGTCAGTGGTGTGGCCCTCCTCTCCCTCTGAGACCGATAGGTTCTCTGAGCTGAACGTGGATACTGATTGGCACTTGGTTATACTGGTTGGCCGTCTGTAAATTGGACATTAGAGAACATAAAAACAATTAAACAAGGGTATGTTAATATAACAATTTGGTAACACTTTGTTTTGTGGTCCACTTTAGTCATTCTACTAACTATAAGTAACTTATAATGGGTTCCAAGTCGGCCCTATGGGTCGTATCTGATTATGGGCCCTACGTTGGTTTGTCACATGGAATTGATGTTGATGGCGTTGAAATTCCGCAGCAGAGCGATGACATCTCGTGTATCAAATATAGTAGAACTATCACATCTTCTACTAAAGATTGCTATAGAAATAGTCTTCCTGATCAGTTTCAAGAACTCAATGTTGCAACAGAAACTATTGGCTCTCTCTACACAGTGCTTTAGAGCGCTTTAGTTGCTCCTTTGCAATTCAAAAAGATTAAAGAAAATAGTCCTACGCTGTGGTATAATGAGCACACTCACACCCTCAGGAGAACAGCCCAACAAATGGAGCCATCTGGAAGAAAACAAAACTAGAGGTATTTCGTATTTTGTGGAAGGATAGTGTTACTGCATACACAAAGGCCTTAAAAACTAAATTAACGAGAAATAAAGCTTCAACTTTAGACTTTTCCAAATAGCACAGTAGTAATGACTTTCTGTAATATTACCATTCTTAAATAAGTTCATAAAGAACTATAACTATGAAACCGCCTACTATAGGATTCAGTAGGACTTCATGCTATAGACCCCCCTGAGGAAAAACTCTTCAACTTCAATGAAATCTGCGAGGATTTAGACCGTACCATAATACCGAGACAGCTCTCATCAGAGTTACAAAGGATTTGCTCTTATTCGATCGTGGTTGCATCTCTCTATTAGTGTTACTGGATCTAAGTGCTGAATTTCACACTATCGACCACAACATTCTTTTAAATAGACTCGAATTATGTTGGAATTGCATTGGCATGGTTCAAATCATACTTATCTGGCCATTATCAGTTTGCAGTAAATGAAGAGATGTCTTATCGATCACAAGTTCAGTATGGTGTACCACAAGGCTCAGTACTAGGACCATTGTCTTTTACCTTGTAAATGCTACCCTTGGGAGATATTTAGGAAGCATGGCATTCATTTTGACTGTTGATACTCAGCTCTATATTTCTTTGTGCCCTGATGAAACTTACCAATTCATAAAATTAGCAGAATGCATAACTGAAATGAAAAATTGGATGACTAGTAATTTCCTACAACCAAAAACCTCCACATATAATAACCTGGAATACTGTCTTAACACTTGATGGCTGCTCTGTTAAGTCTTCGTCATTTGAACCTGGTTGTGCTCCTTGATACCAATCTTTCATTTGTAAGTCATGTTTCTAGCATCTGTAAAACCACATTCTTCCACCATTATATATCTAAATTATGCCATATGCTCTCATTGACAAATGCGGAACTATTAGTTCATGCGTTCATGACATCAAGGCTAGATTATTGTAATGCTCTACTGGTTGGTTGCCCTACACGCTTAATAAACAAACTTCAGCTAGTCCAAAACGCAGCCGCTCGAGTTCTTACCAGAACCAGGAAGTATGACCATATTAGCCTGGTTCTGTCAACCCCTGCATTGGCTGCTTATTAAACATTGCATACATTTCAAAATCTTGTTGATTACTTATAAAGTACTAAATCGATTTTTTTGCACACCCCTGCCTTTTTAGCACCTAAACTCTGGAATTGTCTTCCTAGCATTGTTCAGTAGCACTCTCACTGAAACAGAGACCGGGAACACTTCCCATAACACCAGATGTACTTGTTACATCTTATGAGGAATGGCATCTATGCTAATATTAGTCTGTCTGACTCATTCTTATCCTGGGGTTACCGTAGTCAGCCGTATCCGGGCCGTATCCAGATCAGAAGGTGGACCTGCACCAAGACAGACCCTGAATGTCAGCAGGGACTGTGTCTACAAGACCTCGTTCACACGGCACAGATCCTCAGCAAAGACCACAAGAACCAGAAGGGTCTTCTGCACAGACCTATAGTCAGGTTCATCTCCACACCAGCATGATGGATCTGGTCTTCAAGCAGAAGGAACTCAATGAAATATTTTCAATGCTATGTCCACAATCTGACTTCTGACATGTGATGCAGCTCAAATCATAATCCCACTGTTCGTTCGTTGGCCAGAGGAGAACTGGCCCCGACTGAGTCTGGATTCTCCAAGGCTTTTCTCCATTTCTGCCCATTGGAGTTTGGGTTCCTGCCACTGTCGCCTCTGGCTTGCTTAGTTGAGGACCCTTAATATTCAGCAATATCCCTGATTTGACTACACTGACACTATTGGACGAGAAATCAACTGAGCTGGACGATGAAATCACTGTTTTACATTTCCATTTATTCATTTAGCTGACGCTTTTATCCAAAGCGACTTACAATCACACGCCTCTGGAGCAACTAGGGGTTAAGTGTCTTGCTCAGGGACACATTGGTGTCTCACAGTGGATTCGAACCCGGGTCTCCCACACCAAAGGCATGTGTCTTTATGGAGGAATTTAAGTCATTTCATAATTGATGTACTTTACACAGTTATCGAACCTGGTACATCGGTCCTATCTGAATTAGCTCCAGTATGGGCCCTACACGAGTATAACGTTACACTGTACTGTAGAGTCTGCACTCATATTATAAATATAACCATTTTGACATAACATCATACATAACACTCAATCAGCCTATTCGCATGAGCATTTGCCAAAACAAGAAAGCATTATTCAATTATGGATTTGGAAAGGCAAAAAGACTATCATAATTCACAAGAAAATAGAGTAAATACCGTCTTCTTGGTAACTCCACCTCACTGTCCACTTCACCCTCTTCTTCTTCAGAGGAAACACCACGCCGCTGGTGGAATTCAATACACTTCGTTCAAAATATGTTCACATGATTGAATAAATATCCATAACACGTGTTTATAGGAAAATGGACAAAACGAGCTTAATGATTGAGGCCCAGAAAAGCACAGAAAAGAAAATGACGAATGTAAATGACATGTTTGGATTTTTTAACTATATTTAGCATTTTTGCTACATTTTTTATTAGTGTGAAACTTGCAGTTGTACAGTAACTTTGTGTGGTAACATCTAAATTGATTGGTTGGTAACGCTTTCTTTTACAGTACAGTACTTACAGTGTACTTGCATAGAAAGTACTGACTAATATTAGGTAAGTACAGGGAACAGGGGTAGGTTTAGGGGTAGGTTCAGGGTTAGTACAAGTTATTACCCAGTAATTGTAGTTACTAAAATAAGTACATAGTATTTACATGGGTAACTGGAATGTAAAAGGAAGCGTTAGCGATTGGTTTTACTCAAGTTAAAGCTGAATATCAGTTGAATTAGCAGTAACAGTTTACGGTGACTCTGGTTAACTTGTGCAACTCTGAGATAAATGGATTAAATGCTGGCATTACACTCTTAAAATGGTTGACCAACCCCTGAATCCTGCAGTTTTTTCTGCACAAGAGAAAATAGAAAAGATGACGAAAATGGCGACCCATCATGGAACCTAAAATACGTCCCTTCCGTTGTAGATCTATTGAAATCTCAACTCAAAGTATGAATATGAAATCTTTTGTGGAAGGAATGGAGAGATGCGTACCTGTTTGCGTGTGATAGCAGCTCGATACAGGATGGCTGATGGAGTCAGGTGACTTCCGCTGGATCCTCTGGGCAATCGCACGGCGCCGGTGCCCTCCTCTCTCTCCTCGGCATGGGTTCGGCCCACCGCCCCGCTCCGGCCGCAGCAGGGGGAGTCAGGGCTGCTGGAGAACGGCAGGGAAGCAGCGTCCTCGCTGGCCGTGTCACTTCTGGGCGGAGTCTCGTCCAGACCGGCGCCCGCTTCAGCTCCTCCGCTGGTCTCTCTGGCCAGCGCTTCAGTCGTGGCGGCACCGCCGACTCCATCTTCAGCGTGGCGGGTGGAGCACAGCAGATCCGGGCTGGACGAGGACAGCTTCAGCGGGGGTGGCTCCAGCTGGCCCTCCCTCATGGCGCCCACCGAGGCCGTTTCAGCTAGCGGCGCGGCGGGCACCGTCGTGCTGGACAGCGGGGGCTTTCTCTCTTGGCTAGCAGGGGCAGAGGGGTGCTTAGGCCCGGACAGATCCCCACTGCTTCCTCGGCCACCCCTTCGATGACGTGTTTTCACCCTGCGGTTCCGACTAGGAGAGGTCGGTCCTCGGTTTGCACACGGCGGGACGGTCACCTGCATCACACCGGCGTCCATCTTGGGGAGAATGATCTCGGACCTCAGGAGGTCAGGTCTGGATATGGCCGTTAAAGAGATAGTCAACATTCTTTTTGGTGGCACTTTACATATTATAGAGTCCACGCTAAGGCAAATTCACATTGCACTGACAAATGTAACCCCATTCGACCCGCTCCGAGCGGGCCTCGAACCCGGGTCTCCGGCATGAGAGTCAGGCGCTCTTACAAGGAGGCTAAAGACTGCAGCCTCTAGCGCTAGAGCGCCTATTGAGATCGGGGAGTGAGGTTTACTCGCACAGCAACTACTAGCTGGCCTCCATTGCACTCACCCCCCTAAACCTCACTCTCATCCGGGTCACGGCACCAACGTAACCCCTCACACCCGGGTCCTACTCGCCCCGCTCCGAGTGGGCCTCGAACCCGGGTCTCCGGCATGAGAGTCAGGCGCTCTAACAAAGAGGCTAAAGACTGCAGCCCCTAGCATCTGTCGCTAGAGTGCCTATTGAGATCAGGGGAGTGAGGTTTACTCGCACAGCAACTACTAGCTGGCCTCCGTTACACTAACACCAAATTACAATACGTCACTTCTCAGACATTCCAATGAAATAGTAATCAAAATAACTCATAGTAGTACTGCTGACGAACATTTAAATGTTTCAATTCCTTCTTTATCAAAATAAGGAGTAAGCAGAGAGTGTAGTCTACCTGTGTGTTTAAAACAGAGCCGACCGACAAGTTGCAAATACAGTTAATAGAATAATACAGTATAGAATAGTTTCAATTACAACTTTATGTGTCAGTTCTTTGTATCTTGGAATTGCAACTTACAGTGAAGCCGACTGTTGCTGCGCTGTTTAATAAACACACACAGGTTCATACAGTGACACAGAAGACAAAGCCTGTCTACCCTACAGAACTGTGTGTGAGATCTTGACATATGTCTATGTCATATGCTGTTACCTCTTGCCGTGAGACGGCAGCTTCTGAGGGACGCTTCTCTTCTTGATGAGTTTGTCCACGGTGGTCGAGGGGTGATGTTTGAACAGACCGGGATATTTCTTATCCAGACACTGTTCCCTCCTTAATAAATAACACCATAGCATTAGCACTTGTACTCTATATAAAGATCAATGTATCTAATTTGGATGCATCTGAAAGTAACATGATGGGCCTTTCAGACCGGAAAAGAAGGAGAATGTGAGGTTTTCCCCTCTTTTATTATTCTGATCTGCTATGAATCTTCCGTGTGCATGTAGAGCTCAGGATTATATATCTGAGATATGTGAGTCACCTAAGCAGCTCCTTCTCTTTGAGCTCCAGCTGCAGCATGACGGCGTTCAGCTCCATGTAGAGGTTATTGGCTCTCTCCAGCTTCCTCTCGTAGTGTTCTCTGATGTCCAGCGCGTGCCTGTGAACATGAGGCGTGCTCAGCGACGTGTGCTCCTCGAGTTCAGCCCTCCAAACCTGCGCTAACATCCAGTCTACTGTATACCCTCACTCTAGAGACGCTTCGTACACAGAACCTTTTCCCTCAGGCCATCAGTCTATGGATTTAGTTTTAATTCATTAATTTTGGTTTTCATTACAATTATATTTTATGAATTAAACAGCTTGTGAACATACCTTACCAAACTTGTAAAATATTGAGAGTATTATGCAATCATTTAAGATGTTTCTTCTCATTTAGGACCTTTTGGGTAGGGATGCGCCGATATTAACATTTAGGCCGATACCGATAATTCTTTATATTTGAAAGCCGATAACCGATATATTGGCCGATAAATCTAAATCCAAGTTTTTATAAACTTTTTGAGAGCCTGATTATAAAAACAAAAATCTCACCATTAAAAGCCACATACTAAACACACAATTATACTGTACTCATTATAAGTTTATGTAGCCGATATGACAGACTGTATTTTCCTTCATTTATATTTCAAGCAATGTCTCAGCTGAAGGAAGTAATACATTATTTATCGGCTTTATTATATCGTTCCAATTTTCTTATCAGGCCAATAACGACAACAACACAAAATTTACATATATCGGCAGATATCGATATGATTGCCGAGATCTTACATCCTGTTTTCTGTAGTAAAGAGTTCTTTAAAACTGAGTCAAAAACCCTAGATTTCTAAACAGAAACTATTGAAACAAGCATGACAATTGAAAAAAATAAGTTTTTGTGATTATTTGTAATGTTTTAAATAGTTGAATCCTGAAATATTTACACACTGAATCATCCCTAATTACTGTAGAACAAAAAAGCAAGTATTGATCTCCTCTGCTCTGTTAATTTTCCCTCCTGATCGGCTCTATTGAGGCAGTTTTGAGTCATGTGATCGTCGCTGACCTGAGTTCCTCCCGTCGCCGGTTAATCAGCTCTTCATCCAGACGGTGCAGACACGTGCCCTCCGACTTAATCTTCTCAAAGTGCTGCTTCACCTCCTCACGCCACTCCGCCTAAACACACACACACAGAGAATGATCATCATTACATCACTGATCATCTCTTGCTTTAGCTGCACCGTTACAAGGACCAATGACACAGAACTGTCCTTCTATTAACACAGTGACTTCTATGATGAGCATGAGTATAGTTTTTCATATTGGGGCGGTAGAGGTGTAGTGTCGGCCCGCGTCTCACCTGTGATTTGAAGTATGTCTCCTGTGGCGTGGACAGCACGTCTGCTGAGGCGATATCCAAATGCAGCAGAATCTGCCTGAACGACGGCCGGTTCCTGGGTTTGCAGTTCCTACACACATGCATTAGTTTATCATGTCAGTCTGTTAATCATATTATGCTCGTCAGCCATCTTTTCCTTCCACATAAGTCTTCTTTCTTTCTTTACTTGTGACAAAAAGTACACTTTAGCAAACCATCACTAGTGGTAAGGTTGTGTATTGCACCCAATAGAAGGTAAGGTGCCTGACAGGAAGTGATCATTAAGTAAGCTCTTCATACACCACTGAAAACGTAGCTATGTTTATGATATTGCATTTCTGTCAACAGATCCTCCTAAATATTAAACATCACACCTTTACAAAGAGTAATAACCTCTCTCTCACCAGCACTGTCGGAGCAGGATCTTGAAGCCGTCCGGGCAGCTGTCGGGAAGCGGGAGCTGGAGACTGTTGTTGCCCACGCCCCATATGATGGCGGAGGAGTCGACATCTTTATACGGGATCTCTCCGGTCAGCATCTCCCACAGGACCACACCGAACGACCTGCCCACACCAGACACACCTCGTTCTCTGCTGGATTCAACACTTTTATGCACGGTATTGCATTTTTTTCTATTCAAGCACGCCTATTTTCTTCATTATAAGGGGCTTTCGTAGTTCTAGGAACCAGGGCGGGTCTCCGAAAACTACTGGTTCCCTTAGGAACGTTTTCTTGGTTGCGTTCGCAGAGCCAGTAGAAACTCTAAGTGACGTGAGCTTGTTTTGGGGACTTTTATTTTGATGGCGGTGTGGTGTTTGGCGTGTGTTGGCTAGTTCCTGCTAAGAGAGCACTCCTTTCACAAAACAGGACCTCTAAGGGAGGCTTGTGCAATAAACAGAGCAGCCGAGGAGAAACGCTAACCTCTGTGATCTTATGAGACGTTGATGAGATGTGCACCAGTGGAGAACACACTCCTTCAGCGTTTCCTTCAGGGGTCCGACAGGTACAAAAGCTGTCACTGGGGCACTTTTGTACCCAAAGGCTGCATATACCTTAGTGGTACATATTAGCACCTAAAATGTACATATTAGCACCTGAAATTAGCAGCTGAAATGTACATATTAACACCTAAAATGCCCATATTACCACCTAAAATGTACAAATTAGCACCTGAAATGGACATATTAGCTCCTGAAATTGACATATTAGCACCTAAGCTACCAAAAGCTGTCACTGGGGCACTTTTGTACCCAAAGGCTGCATATACCTTAGTGGTACATATTAGCACCTAAAATGTACATATTAGCACCTGAAATTAGCATCTTAAATGTACATATTAACACTTAAAATGTGCATATTAGCACCTAAAATGTACATATTAGCAGCTGAAATGTACATATTAGCACATGAAATGTACATATTAACACCTAAGATGTAAAAATTAGCACCTGAAATGGACATATTAGCTCCTGAAAATGAAATATTAGCACCTAAAATGTACATATTAGCATCTTAAATGTACATATTAACACTTAAAATGTGCATATTAGCACCTAAAATGTACATATTAGCACCTGAAATGTACATATTAGCACCTGAAATGTACATATTAACACCTAAAATGTACAAATTAGCACCTGAAATGGACATATTAGCTCCTGAAAATGACATATTAGCCTAAAATGTACATATTAGCATCTTAAATGTACATATTAACACTTAATATGTACATATTAGCACCTGAAATGTACATATTAACACCTAAAATGTACTTATTAACACCTAAAATGTACATATTAGCACCTAAAATGGACAAAAGTTTACCTTTTGAAATGGTACAGCCCCAGTGATAGCTTTTGTACCTTTTTTCTGAGAGTGCAGAGCCTCAAACGCTGGACCTTACCTACTTTAGTATCCATGCAGTTAATGAAAGAGACGCGTTTGGATGGGCATTTGGACAACTCTATTGGTTAGGATTATGAACCATTCTGTCATCATTAACTTGAGCATTCATTTACCTAATCAGATGTGCGTTCACTGTTCAATGTTTATGTGTGGATAAAAGCCTAAATTCTAGTTTTTGAAGCGTGTCCATGGCGGGACTTGAAATATCTTGTGTTATATTGTGTTTCTTACGGTTAAACGGTTTGGAACGACATGAGGGCGAGTAAATGATGACAGAATTAAAATTTTTGAGTGAATTAACCCTTTTGGATGCTACAAAAATGAGATTTTAAATGTTTGTGCTAGTGTTGATTGATGGTCAGCTGGTCTTTCCCTACCGGGATAAATAAACGCTACTACTTTTATTGACTGCATGAAATCCTCCCAGACCCAATCCCTCCTAATGATCGTACCAGATGTCCACTTTCTCAGACACGGGTTCGTTGCGTATGACCTCTGGCGCCATCCAGGCCACGGTGCCGGCGAACGACATCTTGGTGCTCTTGTCGCGGAGCTCCTTAGACGTGCCGAAGTCTGAGATCTTCACCAGGTCGTCATGTGTGATCAGCATGCTGGCGGGAGAGAGGTGTGTTATCAGTTATCATGTTATCAGGAGGAGACACACAAGGCTAAAGCTAGTCAGGCGGTCATACTTGGGAGACTTGAGATCTCTGTGGATGATCTTGTGCAGGTGGAGGTAGTTCATGCCGCCGGCGATGCCCATGGCCCAGTCCACCAGCAGGGAGGGAGTGATCTTCCTGCCAGCCCTCAGCACCTCGTAGAGCTGGCCCTGCGCACAGTACTCCATGAGGATGCAGTAGCACGGGGCCTGCGTGCACACGCCCCTGAAACACACACACACACGCACGCTTTCAAACAGCGTCTGCAGAAACGGACTGTGCTGAGAGTGTTAAGCCCCGCCCCTTATGTCCAGGAAATAGTCTCATGAGTGCACATGTAACTTAGTCACTGTTCTCTCGCAGTGGAACAAAGAGGACACCGACACACCAACAAACAAGACAGATCGGGTTAATTTAGGTATGAAACAGTCTCAGCTTTCAAATATTATCATTTTTTTAAGACATTCAAACAATAAATACCATTTTTAGTCTCTTTGATATGTGGTAACAGATCACTGTACAGCAACATAGTGGCGGCCCAGATCCGGCCCACATCTGCTACACATGGACTCCACACGGCCCAGATGTGGCCCGGATCTGGTACACATGGACTCCACACGGCCCAGATGTGGCCCGGATCTGGTACACATGGACTCCACACGGCCCAGATGTGGCCTGGATCTGGTACACATGGACTCCACACGGCCCAGATGTGGCCCGGATCTGGTACACATGGACTCCGCACGGCCCAGATGTGGCCCGGATCTGGTACACAAGGACTCCACATGGCCCAATTAGGGCCCAGATCTGGTACACATGGACTCCACACGGCCCAGATCCGGCCCACATCTGCTACACATGGACTCCACACGGCCCAGATGTGGCCCGGATCTGGTACACATGGACTCCACACGGCCCAGATGTGGCCCGGATCTGGTACACATGGACTCCACACGGCCCAGATGTGGCCTGGATCTGGTACACATGGACTCCGCACGGCCCAGATGTGGCCTGGATCTGGTACACATGGACTCCACACGGCCCAGATGTGGCCCGGATCTGGTACACATGGACTCCGCACGGCCCAGATGTGGCCCGGATCTGGTACACAAGGACTCCACATGGCCCAATTAGGGCCCAGATCTGGTACACATGGACTCCACACGGCCCAGATCCGGCCCACATCTGCTACACATGGACTCCACACGGCCCAGATGTGGCCCGGATCTGGTACACATGGACTCCACACGGCCCAGATGTGGCCCGGATCTGGTACACATGGACTCCACACGGCCCAGATGTGGCCCGGATCTGGTACACATGGACTCCGCACGGCCCAGAAGGGCCGGATCTGGTACACAAGGACTCCACATGGCCCAATTAGGGCCCAGATCTGGTACACATGGACTCCACACGGCCCAGATGTGGCCCGGATCTGGTACACATGGACTCCACACGGCCCAGATGTGGCCCGGATCTGGTACACATGGACTCGACACGGCCCAGATGTGGCCCGGATCTGGTACACATGGACTCCGCACGGCCCAGATGTGGCCCGGATCTGGTACACATGGACTCCGCACGGCCCAGATGTGGCCTGGATCTGGTACACATGGACTCCACACGGCCCAGATGTGGCCCGGATCTGGTACACATGGACTCCGCACGGCCCAGATGTGGCCTGGATCTGGTACACATGGACTCCACACGGCCCAGATGTGGCCCGGATCTGGTACACATGGACTCCGCACGGCCCAGATGTGGCCCGGATCTGGTACACAAGGACTCCACATGGCCCAATTAGGGCCCAGATCTGGTACACATGGACTCCACACGGCCCAGATCCGGCCCACATCTGCTACACATGGACTCCACACGGCCCAGATGTGGCCCGGATCTGGTACACATGGACTCCACACGGCCCAGATGTGGCCCGGATCTGGTACACATGGACTCCACACGGCCCAGATGTGGCCTGGATCTGGTACACATGGACTCCGCACGGCCCAGATGTGGCCTGGATCTGGTACACATGGACTCCACACGGCCCAGATGTGGCCCGGATCTGGTACACATGGACTCCGCACGGCCCAGATGTGGCCCGGATCTGGTACACAAGGACTCCACATGGCCCAATTAGGGCCCAGATCTGGTACACATGGACTCCACACGGCCCAGATCCGGCCCACATCTGCTACACATGGACTCCACACGGCCCAGATGTGGCCCGGATCTGGTACACATGGACTCCACACGGCCCAGATGTGGCCCGGATCTGGTACACATGGACTCCACACGGCCCAGATGTGGCCCGGATCTGGTACACATGGACTCCGCACGGCCCAGAAGGGCCGGATCTGGTACACAAGGACTCCACATGGCCCAATTAGGGCCCAGATCTGGTACACATGGACTCCACACGGCCCAGATGTGGCCCGGATCTGGTACACATGGACTCCACACGGCCCAGATGTGGCCCGGATCTGGTACACATGGACTCGACACGGCCCAGATGTGGCCCGGATCTGGTACACATGGACTCCGCACGGCCCAGAAGGGCCGGATCTGGTACACAAGGACTCCACATGGCCCAATTAGGGCCCAGATCTGGTACACATGGATTCCACACGGCCCAGATGTGGCCCGGATCTGGTACACATGGATTCCACACGGCCTAGATGTGGCCTGGATCTGGTACACATGGACTCCACACGGCCCAGATGTGGCCCAGATCTGGTACACATGGATTCCACACGGCACAGATGTGGCCCGGATCTGGTACACATGGATTCCACACGGCACAGATGTGGCCTGGATCTGGTACACTTGGATTCCACATGGCCCAGATGTGGCCCGGATCTGGTACACATGGATTCCACACGGCCCAGATGTGGCCCGGATCTGGTACACATGGACTCCACACGGCCCAGATGTGGCCCGGATCTGGTACACATGGACTCCACGCGGCCCAGATGTGGCCCGGATCTGGGCCAACTCTATGTTGCGGTCTGGGTCAGTTGAACCAATCATCACTTCCTTCTATTTAATAATCGTATGAGTTTGTAGTTTTCCTATCAGACCGCAAATTTTTTTATTGTAGTCTTTATCATGAAATAAACTGATTTACTAAGGTTTGCGCTAGTCAATTTACTGGTATTTGCGACATTAGAAAAGCATGTTTGGACCCATTTTGTCATTAACATGCTGCGATAGTTGCTGTAGGAGCAGGAATCTTCTGTGTTATTTTTAATTTGCAGCACCTGTGTTATTAGTAGATCACACTGATTATCATCAGCTCTGTTTGTGGCCCAATACTAGAAGATTTAATTCAAATTCATCCAAGACACTTTTTGCAATTGTCATTAAAAATGGTTCAAATAATCTTCAGATCATGCTGGCAAGAGTTCTTTGAAGCTTTTTGACATCGTGAAAACGTGAATAAGGTATAAACAAGTTTAATGAAGAGCATGTGAAAATAGATGTGAGGCTATATATCGCAACACTTTAGCGTATCAAGATGAGTCTGAGGTTATCACATTACACGTAGCACAGCGCCACCTGCTGGTCAGGAGAAATGAAAAATAGCTATTTTTGTTTATAACTATTTCTGGTTTGCCCAAAAATCATAACATTGGTCTCTTTTTGATTCAGTGCAGCATACAGAGTCGAATGATACCTAATTTTCCCTTGTCGCCCATTTTGGGCTTCAGCTATTTTGAATTTTGTCTTTAAAATTTAGCATTATTGTATCATTACGAAACTCAAGGAACTTTGTATGTGTAAGAAACTGAAGTGGAGGTCCACCTTGAGGTCCAAATTTATAATGAAAATATAATATATAAAAATATTTAAATGAAACTAGTCTTGACAGATTGACAATGAACAATATACAATTACTGATTATTGAAACTGCTGTCTGCAATTTTTAATTTCTTTGAAAACCTATCCTAACTCCTAGACCAGTGGTCCGATTTTCGTCTCAGATCATCTTCAGACCATGCCGACATAATGTTATAAAAAGCTTTTTGATTGTTCAAACCCCTGTGTTTCGAAGACATTAACAAATTTGTCATGGTGGGAAGCTGACTCTGTCTTGAGGCTTTGTGTGTCATTATCTCCTCACACTGACCACACCACATCAATTTAGTATCAGTGCCTCCTATTGGTCAAAAGTGATCAGCAATTAAATCATATTACTAGTGAGTTTTTAGCCATTTTGCTTAAAATCATCTAAAAATGTCTTTAATTACAAATGTTTGCTTGGCCCCATTATTTGCTGCTTGCAGCTATATATATATATGTGTATATTAAATATATTGTGCTGTGTGTTTCAAAGGGAAGTGCGCTCTTTGCACACATGATCAGACTGTTTTGATACCTCACCTGTGTTGTGTTCGATCCCCGCCTCTAAGCTGATTCGACAGATTTCATTGGTCATTTTATTTGCAGTGCTGATTGCTTACACAAATCAGAAATAAATACTAATCCCTAAACCAACACCCTGACCTTAACCATAGTATAGCATTGGACATCATGATGTCCCACCCCTTTCCATAACCGCCAGTTTAACACACTACTAACTACCTTCTGCGTATGAACTATTATAATGAGGAATATTGTGACGTGTTTGTTCCCGGAAGAAACTCGAGAAACTTGATCGAGAGAAGTACCCACTACAGACAGATAAAGATGGGAAAACGCTTTAAATGACTGATTCTAATTGAGGGTGATGGTGCTGTGCATGTTTGCGCTCACTCACTTGAAGGTGATGATGTTGGGGTGCTTGAGCTTGCGCAGATGTTTGATCTCAGTCTCCTTGATGTCCCTTACTTTCTTCACAGCCACGTCCTCACCATGAAACTTGCCCAGGAAAACCGCCCCCTGCGCCCCGCTGCCAACCCACTGCAGCTCGGAGATCTCCTCGAACGGCACCTCCCAGGAATCTGGAAGAGACATTGCATTATCCCCGCCTGAAACGACTCTGGGCCCTATCATACACCCGGTGCAGTGCAGCGCCAGAGCGACGCTGGTGTGTTTTGCTAGTTTCAGCCTGACGCAGTTATCATTTTCTGCCCTGCGCCACATTGTTTAAATAGCGAAAGCATGTGCGTCATCTGTGCACCCATGGGCTGCTGGTCTGAGAACGCAGTGTGTTCAGGCGCATTGTTGGCGCGTTGCTATTTTGAGGAACTGAAATAGACTGAGACATTGACTAACTGAAACCTGGTCTAAAGGCAATGGCGCAATTTTTTTTGTTATTTAAAGTGCGCATTAGTAGTATGAGCCTATAGGCAGGCGGGTCCACAACGCACGTAAACTCTGCTTATCACACACAGGGATGCGGAACAGCACACACACATGCCAAATATAACAAATGTAAGGCTTACAATATAAAAGGTTATTATTGTGTACATAAAGATATGGTGGAATCCAGCTTGTCCCATAGATGGTCTGCTTGCGTGTGTGAACCTCTCTGGAGTCGCGTTCAGTCTTGCAAATTCCGTCATGTGATTAGCAAACCCGCCATGGCTTTTAAAGGGAAAGGGAGATGAGACTCTGAGATTGGTTTATTGCACGTTACGCCCAAAATACACCCATTACTCATTAAGAGAATAGAGACAACCCTCTAGACCATGCGCCAGGAGCGCTCACAATTTTTCCCTTCGTTAAACTAGCAAAAGTGCACTTGCGCCGTGCGCTTTAGACCACACGCTTATATATCGAAAATAGGGCCCTGACTCTTGCTGCGGTCTCCGATTGTGGTACTCACCCTCGTGGCTCTGCTTGTGCTCTGTGGAGTAGGCTTTCCCGATCATCGTCCACACTGGCTTCAGGCATCCGAACAAGCCTTCCAGAAAGCCCCCTCCGCCCGCCTGCAGCCGGAAGCTGTCGGACTGGTTGCGCACGGCTCCGCCCTCGGCTCCGCCCTCCTGCAGCTTCAGCACGCTGTTGGAGAAGTTGGTGGGCTCGTCGCTTAGGGTGGGGCTGTTGCTGTGGGTGCCGCTGCCGCCCCCGACGGGGTCGATGGAGAGCACGTTACGGAGGACGCATTGGGTCGGGGTGAGTTCGGTGTCTGGGGTGCTCGCCGGCACCTCCGAATCCGGCCGGCAGAAGGGCGGATCAGAGAGCGGGGTGCTGAACCCGGAGAGGGAGGGGGAAGGGGCATGTTGCTCATGGACACAAGCCATGGGGGCAGAAGGGGCGAGGGTGGCCCGCGAGTTACCCACCCTTCAGGAAAGTGGCCCTCACCTCTCTCTCCGGAGCACCGCTGCTCGTCAACACACCTGGAAAGGGAAACAAGCAGCAAGCCATAAGATTCGAGAAAGAGCTTACTTATTGCTTACTAGGAAAGTCAAATTCAATCGCGTATTAGAGATGTGGATTGTGGTGGATTAAACCAACAACACGAGGACCCGTTTGTGTATGTAGGAACTGGAGCTGTCAAAATGGTTGTAAAATTACATTCAAATTTCTTCCTTAATTATTAGCAAAATTTGCTTTATATTTGAATTCTAAAGGCAATATTTCAGATCCTGAAACACACGCACAGGTCTGACCGATGTGCAGGTTTGGCCATATGTCATTGCACGATTTTTGCCTCCAACTGAGTGGGATTTCATCAGCAGGAAAAGCCTTTTCCCGCCACTTTTTAAACGAACACCCGCATCAGTTTCGTCATCATCATGTCTCCCATGCCTCTTGACACACCAAAAATTTGAATGTGCAGTTCTTTGTTTAAATTCTACAAATATTTTACATTTTTATTTTTATTTGACAGCCCTAGTAGACTGTATGTCCAATATAGTGTTAATATTGAGCACACAATGTGTGAAACAAATCGATTTTTTACATGGAATTTTTTTTGAAACACATTTTCTGTTGCATTGTAGATTGTACATTATGCAATATCTCTTTGACTTTATAGATACAGGCTGATTGGCTGAGCTGATCAATAATCATAAAGCTTTTCCAGTTCTAGAAGTATTTTTCCTAATACTAAAGTCTTCAAGGCGAATGATTATCACTTCAGATTGATAAACCTGGGCAGCGTGCACAACTTTTTTGGTTTGTTCAAAATAAATGATTATTTGTTAAACAAATTATTTGCTTTACAAACCAAGCATGTGAAATACCTTTTTGTGCATTCAAATATTCCCCTGCACATGCAGCAATAACAAGATGAGGCCAGCACAACAAAAACACTCTCTAAATTATCATTTGACTTTAGGAACACTTCCAGCCTGGATTAGCCCCGCCCACAACATCGGGACATTCGGTCTGGACTTGATCTGTTGTGAAGCAAGTATGCTCAAACCAAAGCTGTTTGGACCAGTCAAATTGTCAGGGTGGGATTTATGCGATGATGGTAGATGATCAACCGTAACGTAATCATCACATCACCAAAGACACTTGGGTTGAACTCGTTTACAACAAAGCTGCCGCTGGAGAATTGACATGTGTAGATTCAGCCATCACATCTGCTATAGAAGATGTCTCTCAAAATTGAAAGGTCAAGCGTGACGTAGGCGGAAGAACCGACCCTGTGTTTATGAAGCCAACGTGCAAAGACTAAGTTAAAAATAATGTTTATTTATTACAATAATAAATAAAAGGTAAAACAACAACCTGGGGATGATTTTGAAGTTGGAGGGGAAAATGAGATGGAGTTTTTCGCCCTACCCTATATTTACCGCCTACGTCAGGTTACCACCTGACCACCGTGATTACGTAATGCATGAAGTCATGGGTGTGCAAGACCAGCATTAGTGGTTAAAGTATAGAAATGTTTATTTTGTTCTAAATTGGCCGCTGGTTTGTCTAGATAAGACTCTTATTCCTCGGCTGGATCGTGTCGAGACTTTGAAGCTGCACTGAAACTCACATCTGGACCTTCGACCCGTTGGACCCCATTGAAGTCACTATATGGAGAAATCCTGGAATGTTTTCCTCAAAAACCAAAAACCTCTTTTCCATTGAAGAAAGAAAGATATGAAGACCTTGAATGATGTGGGGAGAGTAAATTATCAGGAAATTTTAATTCTGAAGTGAACTACTCCTTTAAATGAGGACTCGCCATCACTTGAAGTGACCAGGAGTGAAATGATCCTTAACCTATGGTGCCCTTCAAGGGTGCAAAAACACTGTTGAGAGTGGGCACCATGTCTCGACGACCTGATGATGTAAATCAGGAGATGAGGAAAACCAAAAACCAAAGGAAGACCAAAAACTGAGAAGCACTGGATTATAGGACTGAGCCAATGACCCAACAGGGTCTACTTGTGATCTACTGCTGCTTTACCTTATTCATTTTCATACAGCCACAGTTAACAACATATTGTACCATAGTAATCTGTATTGATCAGTAATGCAGAGTAAGTCTCTGAAAAGATGAGATTGTGTTGGTCTTGGGCAGGGGTGCACAGTTTATATCCAACCCTAATCAAACACACCTGAAGCAACCAATTAAGGTCTTCTGGATCACTTGAAAATGAAAGGCAGGTGTGTTTGATTAGGGTTGGAGATGAACTGTGCAGGACAGTCGATCGGCAGGAGCAGGGTTGGGCACCGATGGTCTAGGGGTGAGAGTCCAGCTTTAGGTGTGATCCCGGACGAGCCCCCACTTTTTCTTAGATTCCTAAGGTCCCTGCACTTGAAGTCCGAAATTCTCATGCGAAGTTTTTGCACTTTAAAAAATAAATGCGACCTCACGTTGGTTACATGTTATGTCCGGTGTTTCCCCCTGTTTAGTGTTTTTGGTTCTGTCTGTGTCCCAGTTTTCCCGCTCCTCAGTGTTCAGTTCATTCACTTGTGTTGAGTTCATTTGCCCCAGCAGTGCCTCGTTTCCCTAATCTGTCCTCTGTGTATGTAAACCCGGTGTTCTCCCTCATTCCTTGTCCGTTCTTGTTTATGTTTAGTGTGGTTTTGTGTCTCCTGAGATTTTGCTTATTCAAATTCCTGTTTCCTGGTTTTCCTCATCTACTCATGCTTCTCACCACCACCAACCATAAGAACATTTTCCCGATCCCTGTATCACGGTTCCTTGTTGTGGACTCTTATTTTGAAATATATTTCCTGTTCTCCGTATATCATTACTTCCCATTTCCTATTTTGTTCCTGTTTGCCTTTGTCTTGTTTATTACCATAGTGATAAATCAGTTTCAGGTGTCCCTTGTTAACCTCTTGTTATCCAGTGTATATATTCCCCAGTGCTTCAGTCCTGATTGTCGTTGTTGTCTTTGCATGTTGTGGTAAGCTGTTCCTGCTTTTGACCCTCTATTTAGATTATCTTTGTTTTTGTTTTTTGCAACTGGATTCACACCGCTCTTCCTCTCTGCTTACACTAACACACGTTGTGTCAATCACTTTTACACACTGCCTCCAAACTTTCATCCATTATTAAGAAAAGATTGGGATCATACGGAGGCGTATTGCATTCACTTGAAGTAAAAAAAATCTACTCTGTTTTTCTGAATTAACGAGTTAATTTTTCATGAGAAAAAAAATTTTCTCTGTTTTTCGGAATTAATGAGTTAATTTTTCATGAGAAAAAAGTTTTTGCTCTGTTTTTCTGAATTAACGAGTTAATTTTTCATGGAATTTTTTTTTTGCTCTGTTTTTCTGAATGAATGAGTTAATTTTTCATGGATTTTTTTTTTGCTCTGTTTTTCTGAATTAACGAGTTAATTTTTCATGAATTTTTTTTGCTCTGTTTTTTCTGAATTAACGAGTTAATTCAGAAAAAACAGAGCAAAAACTTTTTTCTCACGAAAAATTAACTCATTAATTCAGAAAAACAGAGCAAAGAAATTTTTTCTCATGACAAATTAACTCATTCATTCAGAAAAACAGAGAAAAAAAATTTTCTCATGAAAAATTAACTCATTAATTCAGAAAAACAGAGTAGATTTTTTTTTCTTCAAGTGAATGCAATACGCCTCCGTAGGATCAGGTTCAACTTTCTGCGTTTTTGCATTGTAGTAAGTCTATAAGAGGTGATTGGACAATTCAGAGCCACCGTACATGTGAACGCCAAAATCCAGACCTGTTAAAGATCAATTGGTTCAGGGAAATTGTGTGTCTTCTTATTAATATCTGGCTTCAGTATAGCTAGCAAAACATCAAACTGAGCCACTGACATCCTGAAGTACACTGAATCCTGCAGCACACTCTCCTGTATCTCTACGCAATCTCATGATTGGATGACAGACCCACTATTTCCTCTTTTCTTTTTAAGAAGAGAGAGGACAACTAGATCATCCTCACTGCTTGACTCCATTTTGTATTGTTTTGCATTTTTCCCCGAAATGGATTAAAAAATAAGCAAGATTTCTTTGCGTGAAGAATTTTTAGGATGACTAATGCGAAAAAACACTTACGAAAATTTCGGCCTCAGTGTGCAAGGACCTTTAGAGATAGACTTGTTAACAATGAAGAAAAGCAGAAAAATCAATTGGGAAAACTTCAGGTTCCGACAAGGCCAAACCAATAAACAAAACGACAACTCAAACCTCTACTTAACCTCTTTAAAAGAACAGAAAAAGAAAATACAAAATGATCTTCCCGACCTAGTGCTTTAGAGACAAAGAAAATAACAACAAAAATGAATGGCATCGGAACCCTACAACCCATTAAACCCATGTTTGAAAAATGTACAAAGTATATACAAATATGCAACCAAAATACTGTCTAAAAAAAACCCCACAACATCAGCTGAGGTTGTAACACCCCACCCATAAGACTAAACAAGCGCCACAAGACTTATATATGCCACAATATTTAAATATGTATTTTTTTATGCATTTTTTTCCTTTTCCTTTTTACTGCATAATCTCCAAATTGAAACTGACAGATAAGTGACTATCACATAAGCCGGGTTGTTTCAACTCAAATTTGGGTCAAATATGGACAAACTTTGGGTTAAAAATGCAATTAAAAAGTTAATATTTGAAAGTGAAAGTTGAAGTTGGGTTAAAATTTGAAATTACATTTTTAACACAACATTTGGGTTTGTCTATTTTGCCCAAATTTGAGTAGTTTAGAGTGTCTATCTATGCAGAGTAAGGAAAACAAGCATTTCTTTAAGCAATGTCTTAATTTCAAATACTGCATGATAATGGTTTTAGTGTTAGTTAACAATAACAAACCTGATAAGAGGTGTGTATATATTCATGACTTACATGTTATTAGTCGCAGATTTTATTACATTTACAATATTTTATTGTTCCCCGGCTTTGTGTTAAATGGACTAGATAAATGTTTTTACATATTTAAGTTGGTAGTTAATATGCAAGTTTCAAATATCAAGCTATAATGATTTTAAACCCCATGAATTTCTCTAATTGTACAATAAGATTGTTATAGATTCATATTAATCACTTCATAATTATCTCACACTTCTAATAATAGGAACTGCTGAACATTTCAAATGAATGGTGACCAGTCATAGCACCTAAACATACACTTATTCCTTATGAATCCACAATCATGTTATTCCTCAGCTATAAACACAGACTGCAATAGTGCAGCAAAAACATCCTCGAATACACGCATCTGAATGAAATATATGATGCCAGAAATCACGGCGCTTCTGCTCGACGCTCGCGCGCGCGTCACGCTGCTCTCGGCACAATATGGCAAAATTGCATAACAAACGCACGCGTGCGCTCCTGAACGACGCGATTCCTCGCGCGTGTCGTGTAAGTACACCATTGCGCGTGTACAGGCAAAAACAGCGCACAAACGCACGCGACGCGAACGCGCTGATGAAAGGCAGTAAATGGACGCGTTTGTTGAGATGTGATGTCATTGGCGTCAATGGCGCGCGTGAACGCGTCCAACCGCGCGATGTACCGCAATGAGTGAGGAGAGGATGTACACACACACACACACACACTGCACGAACACACACTGATCTCATCTCTCCCGCTGGCTTGTACAGGCTGTGATTGAGAGGCTCGCGTCGCGTCGCGTCGCGTCCCGTGTGTGTGTGTGTGTGTGTGTGTATAGATGATGGTGAGCAGTACCGTGTCCCTGGAGGATGGATGCTGTTGTTGGATCTGATCTGATGTTCCGCGGTAAACGCGTCTCGCTCCTCGATCCCCGCGCGCGCGTGCTGTTCTCTAGGCTCGGCGTGGTGTGTGTGGTGTGTGTGGTGTTCTGGCCCGGTCCGGTTCGAGCTCCATCGGCTGGATTGCGCGATCACGGATTCGGGTCCATTAGTCGAGCGGAAGGAGCTGTTCTCCTCTATGGTGCTGAAGTGACGTCACGGGGCGCGATGACGCCCGCTAGAGGGCGCGCGCGCGCGTTACCGTGAGAGCGAGCATGACGTCAAAGCCACAAGCGCTGAAGTGTGTGTGTGTGTGTGTGTAAACACGGCCTGACCTTCAGTTTATATTTTAAAGCGTTTAAAGGAAAACCTCCTGTTGTTACTGTCGGTGACCGCCGATAAATGTGACGCACGCCACGCGTGACGCCGAGAACGCTTGAGAATCCAGTGTGAAAATAATGGATTTTTCATAGAAACACAGCTTTACTATTCAAAGAGATTTCTGATAATAAAAGCAGCGCATTGTCCATAACCTGGGTTTCATGATCATGTCACAGTGTTATAATAATAAGTCTATAACTCTGATATTGAATAATGTGTTTAATAAAGTGATTCTGGGTCATCTCATGCCAGATCTCCTCTGTGTGTTTTAATAGAGAAAGAAATACATAAATGATGAAAGGTCTTTGAGCTGTATATTTACTAAGAAATAATAAAAAAAAATGATGTAAAAATGGCATCTTTTGTTGAAGTCTAAAACACAACGGCTGTCTCTTCATTCATTTTCATTTGTTTGTAGGTCTACACACTGTAAACCCTAATGTTGTCTTTACTTAAACAATCAAGTGTACTTGACTAAACATTACTTAAAATTTTGCATTTTGGCCCTGTCACTCAAAAATATAAGTTCAAATAACTTATTTACCTTCAAAATACGAAAACTTAAGATTTCAAGTGCTGTGAACTCAAAATAATGATTAAACCTTACAAAAGGTAATCTTCAAAAATGTCTTAACTGTGAAATGATGATACATTCTTACATTCTAGTCATTCTTATTTTACCAGAAAACAAATGGCTTTCATTTTACAATTATTGATTGTAATGGAAATAAACTGATGTTTATTTAAAAAAAAAAAACCTGATATTTTAAACTTGACAAATAAACTTTATTACCCATATTCAAGTGCTTTTGTAATACTGGGGGTTGCACAATTTTCATACATTTCACGTGCACATATATGCCACGTGCCAAAATGCATGATAGAGTTCCTCACATCAGCCACCAACCAAGTGTTAATAAAAAAAATATATACAAAATAACAGAAATACAGCGACGACACATTATGTTGAACGTTAAATCAAATTAATTTCAAAGGTTTAAAACGTCTCTCTCTGATCTTCCTCTGATGCGATTTGCCACGCAAGCAGTTCTGCATGGCAACAAGAGAACTAATGCGCTGATTGGTGGATTACAAAATTGGTGATTTTCGCATCGTCTCGTCAGTTGCTGAAACCAGTTCAAATGTGAAGACGGGACGGGAGTTTTTCTTTGAGTAACATTCTCGGTAAGTACAATTATTAAGATATAAAGTTATTTTGTATGACTTTTTAACTCAGAAATATGTTTATTTAAATCCTTGCACGGTTAATAAAAGAGAACGCAGCCATAACGTTAATTAGTTCCTGGTCAAACTTTTCCAACACGTTTTAAGTGATGATATGATAGCTGCGATTTCAAACGATTCTTTAATTTATTAGTTTAATTGTGTAATCGTGTATTTCTCGGCAAAAGAACACAGTTAACTAACGTTAACGTTATTTGAGACCAGTCAACTTTAGTGACGTTTTTTCTGGTCAATCTTTTGACAACCTCGACATTAATTAACAGTGTTTTCTTCATGACTTAGTTTGTGATAGTATGATTATTGAAATGTCAACTGCTTATTTTCTTATTTTACTAGTGAGATAGCTACATATTCGATTATCTTTTTTTCTGTGCAAGAAAGAACATGGCAGCTATGCACAGACCATGTGGGTTATTTTTCCCGGGCAAAGGTCAGTTTTACCAGTAACTTGCAAATATTTTCATGATACATTTCTGATTTTGACTTGTAAAACGTAGTATTTCGTAAAGTATCTATCTTAAGTTATAAGAACATTTGTTACTAGCTACGAGTCTAGGACGAATGATGTTTCGTAGATTGTAAAATTATAAAATTAACGTCACGCTTGTCACCAATAATTACAGCGATTTAGTCATATGGAAAATACTATAGAAGTCAATGCGAACTAGCAACTTTTGGTTACAAACATTAAAATATTACTTTTTGTTTTCAGCAGAACAAACAAAACCATGCACACAACTGTTTGAGCATGAGTGGTCTATTCCTTTAACGTGTTAAAAATATTTCTTAGCCTCTACATTTGTTTCCTAATTATTTAATTAAAGCATTTCAATGTGCACGCTAATGTGATTATGTGATCTGCTCTTATCTCCCCAGTTCAACAGAATTGCTGGCAAAAACCTAAAGCAGGATTTCTACGAGAACCTTGATAGATATAGTCCACGGTTCATGGACCTTTTTTTAAGCCAAAGTGGGGACTCCAGGTCAGTAACGTTACTTGGCTAACTTTTTGAATCAAATAAAGGTTAGTAATGGTTAATAATAAAAAAAAGGTAACTTTTAAAATAACTTTTACTCACCCTCAAGTTGTTCCAAACCTGTATACATTTCTTTGTTAACGCTGAACACAAAGGAAGATATTTTGAAGAATGTTTGTAATTGAACAATTTTGGGTACAATTGGTGTTCTTAGTATTGTTATTTTTATTTTTTTTAGCATGTATAACTCAATGTTGGCCCAAAACTGCTTGGTTACAAACATTCTTCAAAATGTATTCTTCCTTTGTATTCAACTGAGCAAAGAAATGTACATGTTTGGAATAACTTGAGGGTGGCTAAATGATGACAGAAATTTCATTTTGGGGGAACTATATCTTTTAAGAGCATTCATTTAATCGTATATTCTTATAAAAGTTCTTCAAATATATTGATTAGTTGTTGGCATTAATGGAATTTTGTGTTTTCCTCAGCCCAACCAACGGAGGTCCTAACCCTTGTGATTCAAGGACTACCTATCATGCTTGGAGATGATGGTGACTTCATTTCTTCAAGTCATGTTTAGTAAGTGCATCTGTTCTTCACGTGTTAACATTAAAACAACCACCTGTGCTCCCATTAGTCTAAGCATTTGTCAAGCATTTGAAAATCATGTTGATTTTAAAGCAATAGTTTCCCAAAAAAATTAATTTGCAGGAAATGTTCTCACCTTCAGATTATTCAAGATGAAGAAGAGTTTGTTTCTTCATCTGAAAAGATTTGGAGAACTTCAGCATTACATCACCAGCTCACAAATTGATCCTCTTTAGCAAACAGATGCTCAAACTTGTTCAAACAGCTGATAAAAACATCATAATAATCCACAATTAATCCACACGTTTGCTCTTTGGACTCTTACTTACAACACCCATTCGCTACAGAGGATCAATTTTGGAGCAAGTGATGTGATGCTACAGTTCTCCAAATCTTTTCAGATGAAAAAACAAAACAACAACTCTATATATTTAATGGCCCGAGAGTGAGTGCATTATCATGTTTGGGTGAACTATTCATTTAAAATACAAATGTAGCCAGTTCTTCAAATTAATAAATGTAATTTATACTGCATACTTAAAAAAAAAGTATTATCTTTGCTGGAAACATGTACATTTTCATAAAGTCAAATGCACACTTGTCCATATAATTTGGGATTAAGGTTAGTGCTATGTGTGTTTTTAATAAATCTAGTGCACGTTCTGATAAACATCAATTTATAAACATTTGATTCCTGATCGTAATACTCTATTTATGTCTGTTTTTACACTAGGTGTCTGATCATCGCAACTCCATCCTTAATGTGCCAGTGGGCATCTTATTTGAGGACACTGACTTTCAGCCCCCCAATTCCTTGTATTTAACTTCTACGATTGGAATAATAAAATGCAGGACCTTCCACAGGCTATGTGTCTCCTCTTCGGTCTGATCTACGAACTTGAACTGAATTACCCCAAATCATTTGGCAACACGTTTGATTTCATCCAGCGTGTGTTAATGTCAATGGGACAATATTCTCTCAAGCCTAAATTGCAGTCTCTGGCAAACCAGCTTTTTGTAAAAAAACAAAAAAAAAAAACAAACAAACAAAAACTTCACTTTAACACCACCCTGAGAATGTTCTACAAATGATTTGCAGGATATATATATACCATGTATTGGTACCATTTTTACTACCTCTTCAGTTTTGTGACCCAGAAAATATTTGTTTAAAAAAAAATGCCACTTTGAGACTTTAATATTTCTGACAATTTTTGTTTTGTGAGGGAAAATGTGGTTTAAATTGTGAAATGCTCTATAATTAATGTGCATTAGTCAATTTAGTATATTGTTACCATTGTTGGTAACAATACCTCTACAGTGTGTTCAATTACAGTATAGTTTGTACTGTAATATTGTGCAAATATTTGGTCAAAGACAGTGACTATGGTCAGTATGCTTTACTTATTTTGCTGTGATTGCATAAAGCTTAAACCAGTAAAATGTTAAAAGAATGTACATTACGTGTAAATGTTCAGTACATTTACAAAAATCTGAGACTTAAGTGTATTTTGTAAGTGATCAGAGTTGTACAATTGATATTGCACTACTTAATGTTAGATGCTGTTGCCACATTTAAAGTTATGTACAGTGTTGACTCATTTCCATTTGAAATTTTGGTCAATAAAGACTCAAAAGATCAATATGTTGTTCATTGTTTTATGTAAGTGCAGTGTGCACACAGCTTACAGTCAAAAATAATAGCTTTAATATTTTGAAATAATATTACAGTAACATTTTCATGTTGAGTTTACTTAAATATATAAGTACAATTGATATTAACACTAAGTTAAGTGAACTTTATAGTTTAAGTGTATTAAATAATCGTAAAGTTTGGTGAACTAAACAATTTAAGTCAAGTCTACATAACTACCAAGTTAAGTACACTTAAATATGCAAGTTTTGGGAGACCCCATTACTCAATTAAATTGAGGGAACGAGTTTACTCAAATCAATTGAGTTAAATCAACTTATTAGGGTTTTCAGTGAAGTGAAGTATGGGTGACTGTCAAAGTGAGTAAAACACACGTCCTAGTGTTTATAACATGCGTATTCTGGTTCAGAACAAACCTTTCTGTTGCTTTATACATATCTGCGACTCTATTCGTGAATTTCTATTCGACAGTTTCAGTGATTGAGAAAAGGTCGTAAGGCAGATTTTAGAAAACGTGGTTTTGTTAATGCTGCATGTTGCTGGAATCATAAAAGTATAATGTTGATAATATAATAACTGTGATGAAATATTGTTTTGTGTGTAAACAGTTTTTAGAAGAGTTCCGATAGTTTGCATGAGTGTTTGCTTTAGAGATGTGTGATGTTTTGCATCTTGTGTTTTGTGGCTTTAGTTTTGAGAAAATCAGCCATAGTTTCAGAAATTGTAAGCGATTTAAAACACATGTAAATCATCTGTTTTCTATGTGAATGTGACAGTTGTAATGACTCACGGAACACGGAAGAATCCATTTGCAGCTTTATTAGACAGAGTCGTACAGGCAGGGTCAAAACGAGGCAGACAGAGCAATGCAGACAGAGAGAAGGGATAATCCAGATAACAGGCAGAGTTCGGGGCAGGCAGCAATAATCACAATCCAAAGACAGTCCAAGATCAGGCCAGGCAGAAATCACTCGTAGAATAATCAAACAGTCCAAAGTCAAAACCAGAAACAAAGAATAACGCTCAGAAATGATCACCGGGGCAAATCAAGACTTCGCAACAGTGTGTGTGTGAAGGTGGCTTTTATGTGTGTGTGCTGATGCGGTGCAGGTGTGTGACGCAATCAGTCCCAGGCAGGGCCGTGCAGAGACCTCTGTAGGGGCAGGTGCTCAAAGTATAAAATGGGGCACATGGAAACAAGGCTTTATAGGGCTGTGCTCAAAATATCAATACAGTAATATATCAATACAGATGATTCTGCATTGATACAGCAGCAAATGCATTGATGCAGTTTTGAAAAAGAACCAGAACAGAAAAGACAAATTTAAAGTTTAAAATTAAAAAAAATAATTGATGTGCTCTATATATAACTCTGGGATTAGAAACTGAAGCATCTTAAGTTGTTCCAACCTGATGGCTTTTTCTTCTCTGTTATACAGAATAATAAAGAACCGCTGTTATAGTGAACTGTATAGGACAAAATCAACCTGGCCCATGTTTCGTGCAGTAGAGTATAGTTTTATTTAATGGCATATCAGCATCTGTGGCTATTTTCATGGCAAAAACTGATTTACAAAAATACAAGAGTTACATTTTATACAATGAAAATAAAAAACAAAGCAAACAGAAACAGCAATTAATACTTTACAAGATTTTTAACATTAATGTGATGCCTGTTCTGGGAAATTCTTACTCAAGTCCCGAGTTTGCTGCCTTTGCTGTTGTTGTTGATGTTGTTACTGCTGCTGCTGATGATGATGATGATACTGCTGGAGTTGATCTGAGACTGTAGACATTAAAATAAACAGAAATATAGGGTATTAGCTGAATAAACCATTTTTATGTGACCATGACAAGATGTAAAGATTGCTGACAGTGTTTGGAACTGGCTCACTAGTTCACTGACCTGCTAAAGCTACAGATTCTACCCAGGCTGCTATAGTATAATAATACAATAATAGTATATAATAGTAACGTTACTAGGGCAGATGTTCACAGAGGCTTCTGCACACAAAACATAAGATACTGGTAAGCCTATGTGATAACTTACCAGAGTTGTGATAATCATTATTATGTGAAAATATTTTTTTTTAATAAATACTGTAATAATAATAATAGTTTAAAGTACAAATAATAGTTTTTAGTCAAATAACACCCCTCCACGCCCGTGAAACTTTTCTCCCTCAAACAGCAAGCTAACGTTACTACACACAGCAATACAAACAACATCTCTCTGCATGCTCTCTTCACGTCGTTCTAGTAAAATAATAATAATAATAATAATAAGTAGTAAAAAAACATCAAAATCACTTCGCTGAGAATAGAAGTTCTAGAACACCACTTACCAGCAGCCACAACAAGAGATGAGCTATCCTCTCTGGGAATGCGCGATTGCGCGTAGCCGCGCGAAATTATAAAATGCGCGTGCAGCGTGAGGAATCAGGTGAAAGGTCATCATGTGGGTCATTTTATTTACGGCTAAATTATTATTCATTCATTTTACTACTAGTTAGATGGGGCAGGCATCCACAAAAGTGCCTTTAAATACAAAAAAAAAAAAAAAGGAGAGGAAATTTTGTCTTGACAAAAGGGCACTTTGGGCACCAAGGGGCAAAAGGGCAGGTGCTCAAGCACCCAACGCCCCTCTCCCCCCCCCCCCCCCCCCCCCACCCCCCTGCACGTGCCTGGTCCCAGGTAAGAGGTATGATGGGAATTTGAGTTTATGTCCAATGATCAATACTCCGGTGAAGGCTCCCTCTGGTGGCGGAGAGGAGGCGGAGCGGGAGCCTCCACTGTAACAACAGTAAAGTGTAATTTTTTCCTGTGAGTTTTTCAGCATCATTACTCCAGTCTTCAGTGTCACATGATCCTTTAGAAATCACTCTAATATGATGATCTGATGATCAAGAAACAGTTATAATTATTATCAGTGTTGAACACGGTTCATATTTTTGTGGAACCCGTCATTCATTTTATTTTTCAGGATTCTTTATTAGCATTCATTACATTTATTTATTAAAGTCATTAAAGCATTTATTAAATATTAATTTTTTTGTGACATTATAAATGTCTTCACTGTAATTTATGATCAATTTAATGTGTCCTTGATGAATGAAAGTATTAATTTCTCTCTGCTTTCTTAGATCTTTAATGTTTGAGTGAGTTGAAGTCGAACACTTGTGCATCCCGCAGCGACTCTTCCGCCGGCTCCTCTGTCTGTATTGCAGATGATGTTGGTTATAGATGTATTTGCCAAATAAACAGATGTTCCAGAAGTTCACATGTAGCGACAGGACTTTTCTTTCAGCACTTTATGTAGCTAAGTATAAAGCTCAACATAAGCTTATTCTCCTTAATAAAGTCACACACCATCACTTTTCCCCATCACATTTTTAAGATAGCGTAGCATAAAATATGATCAGTCATGAAATAATCACTAATACTTCACAAATAAAGAAGAGGTCATGTGTATTTACATTTAAAGGAGTGGTAGATGTCTGTATGTAACCCTGTACAAAATAAGAAGTGCATAAAAACATCTCAAATTTTGGAAAAAATAGTTTGTAGAATTTAATGTTTTACTCTGTAGAATGTAAGATCTGTTATGTGTTTTCCCCATTATGTGTTTGTCTTTTGCTGTAAAATGTCATTATAAGCTTTTGTAAAAGTTGAATAAAAAAAAGAAGAAAAAAAAAACCCTGTACAATTTAACAAAATTAATTATAAAAGGAAATTAATTAATTCAAGATATTAAAATAATAAACTAACCAGAATTAGTGTAAAATTGTAAGAAAAATTATAAATCCAAAAGAAATGCATGTCAGTGTGATGATTGACATTTGGTTAGGGTTAGTCCCCAAGTCCCGCCCCACCACGTTAGTTGCTGTATGGGGGAATCCATTTTCTTTTCTCTGCGTGATTATGAGATGAGCAGCAGCATAACTTTGTATAAATCGTCAGAGATGACTGAATAAGAGACATTTATCATACATTTTCTTTGGATTTGGTCAGGTCTTTATTCTACGCTGGAACTGCGGTCATTTCAGCGTTATGATCTACAGTAAGATGGCGAGCCTTCCCAGCGAGATGAAGTCGATTGATGTGTGATTTGAGTTGATCCAACACCGTGAAATTCGGTAGGAATGTTCTTATTGCCTGCTAGCTTTTTCCTAAACGGGACTGAACTTTATTTTGGAAAGACTGCTCAAGAGTATTTTGTTTTCCGGTGAAAAAAAGATCTCTGGAACTCAGGGTCGGCGCTATGGTGGGGCATTCGAGGGCCGTGCCCCCCCTAGCGCTCATTGATGCCCCTCCTACCACAGTTTCTAAATCATAAATCAGATGTAGGCTATACAATACCAAATGTTCAGCAATCTATTTAAATAGTACATTGTGTTTAATTTTTTGTCTAAGTGGATCTAATATGTGTTGGTGCCAAGAATTTTCACATGAAGAAATAGATACATCCAATCCGACATTTCATTGTAAGTGCTGTAGTGGTCCAGTGGTAAAACCTTAGACTGGCGTGCAAAAGATTTTGGGTTCTAACCCACACTCGCATAATTATTTTTTTTCCCCCATCATTAAAACCGATTATGTTTATCAGTGGTTGTCAAGCAGGGACATGTTTGAGTGCATTTTACTTTGGAATTCACCGGTACGAATAGAGATTTCGCCGCAACAGATCAAGCGCGCGTCCGTGTGAAGATGTTTATTGTGGCAGCGCGAGCCACAAGAGAACACTTCAGCACCACAGATCGAGTCACCGAGCACTTTGATCACTTGATTTAAAAAACAACACATTTCAGCGTGCTATATCGCCTCTTATTTAACAAATGAATGCTCTGCTAGGTAACCGGATATGTTTTATTTATTTGTATTGGTACATCCGTGCCGCGAGATCGAGATGTATAAAAGTGCCGGGACAACATCGACCCTGGCAAAAAGTGGTGGGGAAATTCGCAAATAATAATTATAAATAATAATTATAA